GTGATTCCGTACGCTCGCCAACCATGATTGGAAATGTCTTCCCAATTGGTCAAGCCACACATCTTCGCTAATTCCTTGGTGAACCCATTCAGCTTGTGGTAGCCAAGATTTTTCGTGGTGTCTCCGTGCTTGGCTGGACAAAACCAAACATCACGTTTTGCCTTGGTGGTGTACTCCTTTCGCTGTTTGGCGGTGGCAATCTTGGCAAAGAACTTGACCGCGTCTGGATGACACTTTCCCTTGAAGAAACGGATGACCTTGACCGGACAGAGTACATCATGCGGATTCTCCATACACTCAATGCAGCGATCTTCTTTGTTCATGCCGATGGATTCACGAGATTAGTCGGTTGGTCTTATCTTCCGGGAGAACGAATCTTCATACTCATTGCCGGCGACTCTCCAAGTCTTCGATCGTAGACCCTCCATATGTCTCTTCGTGCAAAAGATTCGCCATCTCCTTGCCTCACGGAAAAGGAAGAAGCGACAAGCACATAGAGCAAAACGTACAGGAGATGCTGCGGATTCGTCCAGGTTGGAGTCTTCCGTCACGAATCGCCTCCCGAATCTTCGCATCCGCATCCCAGTCAATCGCTGATTTGTAATTCTTGACTCCGAACTTGGGATCACTCTTCCGAATCAGGTACCACTTGGTGATCATGAAGCCGTGGAACTGTCCCTTCTCATTGAAATCTTCTTTGTACTTGTATTGGATGCCGCGAGCTTTGAAGAAGAAGAACAAGACTTTGATGTATTGATCGAAGACAGTTGGTGCGAGTGGTTTGCCCTTGTTTGGTCCACTCAAGCATAGCCATTTCATTCCGAACAACACGAGACAATGATTGAGAATTGTGTGCTTGTCGATGTTCTTTTCTCCACTCAAGATGTTGAAGAAGGCGTAATCCATCTTCTTTCCATTCGCATAATTGGCCGGTTCTTGCTTCAGAAGATTCGCCAAGATGTCGCCTCCATTTTCCTTGATGGTTTTGAAGAACCGATTCACACACCGGGTAATTTTTGCAGCATGTTCCTTGGAGACTTTCCCTTTGTCTTTAGCCTCATCCAACAGCTTGAGGTCATCTTCAGTCAGTTCCATGGATTCATATTGATTTCCAGCTTCCAAGGCACCAGCAATGGCAGCGGCAGAGTTGAGTGTTGGAGTTGGCTGCTCCTCTTGTGGAGTTTCTTGTGTTGGCTCATCTTCCTCTGCTGTTGGTGAGGCTGTGTCCTGATTTTCCTCATTTTCCAAGGAGACTCTGGCAGGTCGGTTGTTGATTTGAGGAGTTCCTTCATTGCCATTTCAACCGAAGTCGATGGTACATTCAAGGGTGGATTGGAAGACGTTTGGATCTGTTGGAGGAGGATCGGCAAAGTCAAGCAGTGTCGCCGCAGCAGTTCCTTGGGTCAAAGGTGGTGGTGGAGCAGCTGAGGCGAAGCCAAGTAGTGTTGCCGCGGCCGTTCCCTGAGTCAATGGTGGAGCCACGTCTTCTTCCTCTTCCTCGTTGCTGCTACTGGGAGGAGAAGTTGCTGGTACAGGAGGAAGGACAAACTCGTCGGACATCTTCACGGCCGTAGCTTCAGTACTGAATCCTACACGGGCGGTGATCTTTCGTGTAAATCTTCCTTTGACGTCCTACTTGAGATGGCTTCTGCTATGCGCTATTGCCTGTCAATGGTCAAAGGATGGGCTATTGTTGAGTTTCCTCAAGGGCAGTTACAGTAATCTAACAGCTTATTTCTCTCGGATTACCACTGGACAGATTACGCACAAATGACGGCCCTCTTCATTGACAGCCTCGGTGTCGGCTGCGATCTCGTCTTCGGTCTCGTCGCTTTTCCAGGCCTTCGGCGTTCCTTTCGCGCCTTGACCTTCAGCCTCGATCTTGCCTCCTCCTCGTCTTAAGATCTCCGGCCTGCGCGCTACTGTACGCGCTACTCGGCTTCGCCTCGGAATTGCGCGTCCATAGCGCGCGGCCGTCGATCTTCAAATCAGCGGACCGTTTTTCTACAGAATTGTACACGACTCATTTATAGCCTTATTTAAGGGATCCGGCTGATTCCCACTCAGGATTGTCAAAAATGAATATTAATTAAATCTTTTACAAGTGGAAGCTGTATCAATGTATCAATCTTTTACCATACCGGTATCATATGGTACTACTGTAGCTGCCTGGCACTACGATACGAAGTCGTCCGGCAACACCACACCAAACTTGGTGGTTGGTGGCCTGGGTGCACTCAATGCTAATCCTTTGGAAGCAGTAAGCACGTTCTTGACAGTCAACTGTCACTCATTTTCACTCAAAAGGCACTACAGTACGTGTAGTTGTCTCTTTCACCCTCGGATCGATTCCAGATCCAACTTTGGCGTTTGATTGGGGACTCCAATAGCTGTGCACTGAAATAGCAAAGAGACGTTCTGGTAGCTCAAACAAAGCAGTTGTAGCCCCCTGCCATCACTCAGTTTTGCTAGCTCTCGATATGATCCAGATTCTAGCCAGCAAGGTCCTGAATTGGGCCGTTTTCATTCGTGCATAGCCTGTTAGTTTTACGGAAATGAGATTACCTTAAGTTACGGAAACTAGTTTTACGGAAATTTCGGTAAATTACGGAACGTTTCCGTAAAACTGCTACTTCTACGGAAACTGTTTCCGTAGAACTGTTCAGTTGTGTTTACAGTACATTCCTACTGACAGTTTTACGGTTTCACAGTTTTACGGTTTTTAGTTTTACGGAAAGTTTCCGTAAAACTGTTAGTTCTACGGAAATTAACCGTAAAACTATAAACTGTAAATTACAGAAATCGACATCCAGTCGTGTTTCGTAAACCAATTCCGGACCTTGCAGTACGAACCCTGGCCCTAGCTAATACTCTGAGTGCCGGTTACCGGTACTGGTACCGGTAGCCAGAAGGGATTGAAGATTCGATTATCATACATGATACATACATGTACTAGCTAGCTAGCTAGGGGATGAGCAAACTTGCTCATGGCCCTAAATTACATTGCATTGGTTACTACAGCACTCTCCAGTATCACAAAAGTTACCGGTACATTGAAATAGTGCAACGGGCTTTTAAATACCAACCTCATCAGTTGAAAATTGATGCACATGAGGCCAATTGGATTGGATTGGTTTGAATTGGATTGGATTGAATTCAATTGGATCCATGAAAGTACTGTTATTTGTATGGAGTATCGGGAAATGAGGCATTTGAGGTCAAATTGACATTTTGATGTCAATCAGGGAATCAAGACTCAATTTTGAAACTTTTTGACAATGTTTGACAATCAAAATGGTCAACAGCCATCAACTCCTGTCAGAATCAAAATTGACAAATTGATGCAAATCAGCAAAATCAACATCAATCAGCATCAATCAAACTGTCAATTCATTTTTTGACTTTTTGAGGATTTTTTTGACTCAACATTGATCAACAAATTGACATTTTGATTTGACCAACAGCAACACACACCCCGCCAACCATCCAAGGAACTGACTACAGTATGGTAGGCGGTGATAGCAACAGTTGCACTAGCTAGTGTTGTTAGTAGTAGAAGTAGTAGTAGTAGTAGTAGTAGTAGTAGTAGTAGTAGTAGTAGTAGTAGTAGTAGTAGTAGTAGTAGTAGCCTAATAGTAGCTGTACCAGTAGAAGGTTGTCAGGAGCTTTGTCAGGTAGCGGTAGCGGTATGAAGTATGAAAGTCGATTCGAAAGTCTTTGCGTTGTGCTCCGTGAAAGAGTCGAGTGACGAGTCATCGACCCGTCGAACGCAAGAGTGTGCCATTGTCAAGGCGTCGCTTGTCGAGGCGTCGCTTATTGTTGCTTTATCGCTCCGTTCGCTCAAAAATCAATGGCAGAAAAATGCAGATTCAGTCAAACTTTGTATTTTAAAATGGTCGACCACTCAGCACTTCGACCACTCAGCACAGTAGTAGAGAAGCTGTCACTTGCTTCATTAATAGTAGCACTAGCAGGGGCTCATGGCCACTCCAATTGTTGTTGCATTAGGGGTAGAGGGTAGAGGCGCCATGGTCGCTCCGATTGATCATTCCGTGGGAAGAAGAAAGAAGTCATCGTCCGAATCGACAGCAAATCGACGAATTGACAACGAGAAATCGCTGCCGCTGCCAATGTTTCCAGCCTATCCAAACAAGAGGAGCCTGTCATGGTGGATTAGTAGTAGCCGCTGTAAGGAGAAGGTATCATCTTGGTAGAGAGCGTGTTTGAGTGGATCAATGATTGACATCAAAAGATCAAAATTGATTCAAAGAAAACTGTCAACATCCAATTGAGGATTTTTTTTTTGTCAACATTGATCAATCAGAGTCAATTTGAGTCAATTTGATCAGTTTAATATTTTGATGTCAACACTGACAAATTGATTCTTGTTGACATCAATTGATCAAATTGATCAACATGGATAAATTGAGGGTTTTGAGTCTTGTCAAAAGCGTTAGTAACCATCAATTGACAATATTGACATTAAAATGTCAATTGGACATCAAATGCCTCATTTCCCGATACTTCTATAGTAAATACCAATTCAATGCAATTCAATGCAATTCAATGCAATTCAATTAAAAATAACCATCAAAAGTAGAAGATTGGACTCCTTTTAGGGGGATCTGCTTCTACCAAAAACTCTAAAGCCAGCGAAAGCTATATAACTTGTATTCTAGCTAGCTAGGGGTATCTGCTTCTACTAGTAGCTTGCTATGGGAATCTGCTTCTAGCTAGGGGGGATCTGCTTCTAGCTAGCTAAGCGCAAGTTAAGCACTAGCTAAGCACTAGCTTGAGGTATCTGCTTCTAGCTAGCTAGCAAATAGGGGTATCTGCACTGCTTCTACGAGCAGCTTCGATTTTATTGATGCAAACGCGTGCCGACCTCCATGGTACACATCTACTCGAGCTCTCGTAGAAGTGTACCATACGAGAAAACCTGGCACGCGTTTGAATCTTTAAAACCGAAGCTGCCTGTACATTGAAACCTTTCTGCCGAGGTTACACAGCTCCGCTGGCGTTTAAAATTCGATTCATTCGATTCGGACAATTCTCATCAAAAGGGTGTAATCTACAGTACGAGCTAACCTGGTATTAGTACCGGCACGGATTCTCATTCAGTTCTCATTCAGTTCTTGCTGCCGCCAACGCCGCCGACTGCAGCTTCGCCATCTGCATTTTCGACAGCTCAAGGAGAAGGCAACTACTGTGGCTAGCTACTAGTAGGTTCATGTTATACTCCACTATCCACCCTGGCGACGAAGTAGAACTGCACGACGAAGACCATTATCATGTTCCATTGTGGATCTTGTCCTTAGCTGGCGTGATCGTTGTTATTTTGATTCTGCTACCCAATATCGTATCCTTCCGAAAAGCATCCGTCAAAGAAGACTAACCATAACTACCCAAAAGTGCTCTCACAACACAATGGCGACCAACAATCATGAGATTGCCAAGAAAAAGAGCTACCCTGGCTGGCACGATTTTGTGGCTGGTGCCGTGGCAGGAGCCGGTGCTCGAATGCTCACGCATCCTTTGGATCTCATTCGGATAAGACGACAATTGGCATCCACCCTGAGCGAGAATGGGACCAATGCAATCAGAACCACCATGTGGCAAGACTTTGTGCAAGTGATCCAAAATGAAGGTGGCATTCGAGGGTTATTTCGTGGGAATTTGGCAGCCCTGAATCTGTGGGTATCCTACACAGCCGTGCAATTCTCAGCCTACGGAGCCACCAGGACGTATTTTCAAACGGTTTTTCCGGACGAATCTCAACGAACGATTGTGGCGTTCTGTGCCGGTGCTTCGGCAGGAGTGGCAGCCACAGTATCCACCTACCCATTGGACTTGTGCCGTACCATTTTTGCCGCCAGGGGTACCACCGTGTCGGAACTGGAAGCATCCATTGCCGAAAAACCCGCTGGCAACAATCCACGGCTCCATGCAGTCAACAACAAAGCAACAGTAGAGCAACCAAAGTCATTTCGGCCTCCCAAATCAACCATTGAATTGGCCACCAATCTGTACAAATTTCGGGGATGGCAAGGTTTCTTTGCGGGATCAGGTGGGTACATTGTTGTCTTGATCAAGGAATCTTTAGCTCCTTATTTGCTATTTTTTGTCACATTCTGACCTGCATTCTCCTGAAATCAAATCGCCAGCACCAACATTGTTGCAAATAATTCCATATATGGGTTGCTCGTTTGCTATTTACGATGCGCTCACGTATGGAGATCGAGGTGTTTATCTCTCGGCCTACGCTGGGTCGATTGCGGGATCCGTCAGCAAAACCCTGGTGTATCCCATGGATACCGTCAAGAAACGAATGCAAGCACAAGCCTTTTTCGGTGGAAGCGAAACTGCCAAACATCAATACACTGGAATTATGGACTGCATCATGACCATCCATCGAGTAGAAGGATTCATGGCCTTTTACAGCGGATTGGTACCGTCAGTGTTGAAAACTGGACTAGCAGCTGGCTTTTCCTTTGCGTTCTTTCGCAGTACCAAGAACTTGCTAGAGTCCATCCATGACAGACCCTTTACGGAGAGAGATCCGCCAACACGACATTCCTTGCAACGCAGAATGACGGGGCACTACTAAACTAAAATGTAACTAGAGCAACCAACAACCGAGTACAATAGAAACGCGCCAAAGTGGCACATAGCATAGTACCGGTACCTGCTAGGCGGCGCTTTGCCGATATGCTAGCAAGGAAGGATGGTTGTTGGGTTCTGCTGCTGTTCCAGTTTATTTTGAGGTCGCTGCGGCATGCATGGACATGAAGGCATCAAAGGATTCGTATTTGGGTTTCCACTGCAAGTCTCGTTCGCTGACCGTCCCATCGTATAGTTTCCCAATTGGTTCGGTATCTTTTCCCAGAAAGGCAGGCATTTTCTTGTCTTTGAAAAGGTCCGCTTTCATGGCACTTGAGCATATTTGTTGTCGTGTCAAGGGATGACTATCGCTGACGAGAAAGTTGCGTCCTTTCACCACGTTGGAACCTACTGTTAGGGCAGCCAATGCCGCCGACGCGGCATCGTCGTAATGGAGTAGATTGATGATTCCATCGGCTCTGCCTGATACATCCTTGCCACTATTGAGCCAAAAACTATGGGCGCCTCGTTCCAAGGTATACAAACCTGCCAGTCGGACACAGCAACCACCGTGGGCCCGACAAGCTTCTTCGGCTTTGATGAGGCGGGCTGTCCGAGGACTGCTTTCAGGGTCGGCAGTGGGAGTTTCTTCCGTGATGGTTTCCGGTTCAGTGGTGGTTCCTGGACCGTGGCTGAGAACAAAATATTTGACAAAGGAACAAGAATACTGTTGGTGTCAGAACAGTTGCTCTCCAAATCCAAACAGGATTGTTTCTTTCATTGACACTTACATTCCACCACTGGATGTAAAGACAAATGTCCCTCCGTGATCGAGACCCGACCACACGTTGGTGACGGCGTGTTCCACAGCCGCTCCATAATCGTCAAAGCCCGAAGGTGGAGCACAAAATACGACATTATCAAACGTTTTCCCTTGACTTTCCTCCATGGTAGTGACCTGAAACCGTGTGTCTTCTTCTCCCACGGCCTCTAGAATGGATGCATGGTTGTTGGTGGTCTTGGTGATTCCAGTGACTGCATTGCATGGTTGTAACAATAGAGAAAACAAATAGAAGAAAGATTAGAAAACGTCAAGACCATGTTTCTTCCTAAAGAAATAATATCCAACAAGGTTTCTTCTTGTAATACCGTAATGTAGTCACTCACCCGTCCAACCTTCAAAATCCGGTGATGCCAACAACTGTTTACAGAGACTGGTTCCAAGAACCCCACAGCCAATGACGGCACACTGTTGTTGTGATGGTTGCGAGGCAGCCATGCTGACACCCGATGAAATCAAAGAGGCCGGTAGAAGCAAGAGCCGCAAGGCTGACAAGCGAGATATAGCGAGGGATAGCATGGTCTAGCTAGACAAATATATAAAATAGTCGCGAGGAATGTAGGAAGGAAGGATTGATGTGGAGTTGACAAGAGTTGTTGCGTTGGCCGTCGATTGGATTGAGTGATTTGCATTGATTGCCGCCGATCAACAAACTTCAACAATAAACGTCACTGTATGACGTCATTCAAATGACTGGCTCAAACGCGTATGCTGCATCCACAGCAGAATGCCACCATGCTACTAGCTAGCTACGGTAGTACTAGACTAGTAGCTCTAGCATGGTGCCACTTGATTGTGGTTCCGAAGCATTACAGTACCATCCCCTTCTTATACTAATAAATAAAGGCACCACCATGTTATCTGGAATCAAAGCAGGGAAGCGAAAGCGCAAGGCCAACAAGGGATCTGCTCCTGCAAGTGGTACTACAGCACAAGCAGCTCCTTCTTCGTCGTCGTCGACAACCGCAGAGAGCAATCAATCCGTGGCAGATCAGTTGCGTCAAAGTCTCTTGGCCGGCATCAGCCCACCTCCCACAGCTACGTCATCATTGTCTACTACAACGGAACTTCCTCATGAACGACTTGCCAAGAGTGGTCGCATTCAAGCAGCATCCGCCAAGAAGAAAGACAATGATGGTGCTACTGCCATTTTGTCCATGCCACCAGCAGCTGCGATGATGAGTGTCGACGAAGAAATGGCCCGCAATGTGGTTCGTCTGGGTAAAAAGCGTCGTCAAAAAATGAATTCCACCGGCATGGATAGCGACGACGAAGAACAACGACTCGTCAGTTTGATGATTCCAGACGAAACCACAAAACTCACCAAATCGGCCGCCAAACAAGAAAAAATGGATCACAAAGCGGCACAACGAGCGACATCCCGACAATTGGCACAGTTGGATCGACAAGATCAAATGACGGCGCATTGTTGGTGGTGGCTGGAATCGTCGCGATTTGCCAAACATCGATTGATTGCCCTGGGAAATCACGTGTCACTCGTCATGGCGCCGTTGAACAAATCCATAAAAGAAGGCCGTCATTTTTATCTGGTCCCCATTCAGCATGCCGAATCGCTGGCAGGGTGTGACGAAGAAGTATGGGAGGAACTACAACGATTCCAACAAGCGCTTCGACAAGTATTTGACAAGGAGTACAACTGCGGCGTCATTTTTAGTGAAACCGTCTTGACGTCCAACAAATTCTCGCAAACGCGCATGGAAGTCATTCCCCTCAAACGCAAAAAATGGCTCGATGCCGAATTGTTTTTACGACAAGCATTGACCGAACAACTGGACGATGTGCATGGGACACACAACAAATTGCTGTCGACCAAGGGAAAGGGACTGCGACGGACCGTACCCAAACAAATGGCATACTGTTACGTCGAATGGGATACCAACTCGAATGGATTGGCCATCATTTTGGAACAACAGCAAGGACAACAATTTCCACCCGATTTTGCCGCCGATACCATTGCCGGAATGACGGGAGCGGATCCAGTACGCTTTCAACGCAACAAGAAATTCACACCCGAACAAGAACGAGACCTGGTCGTCGCCTTTTGTCAAAAATGGAAACCCTACGATTGGACGGATCAGTTGGAGTAAATGATTCGTGAGAAAGAATGCAACAGTCAAGGGAGGTGATGATCGGCAGATGGTGAGATACAGTAGATTCCATAGCAGACAAGGCCAGACACAAGTCTGAGCAGATAGCTGATGCAAAAGACTTCATAATATTATATATGTGATGTGGCCATGACAAGGGTGTTTCTTGCCGCCTGAACGTCATTGTTGATGTAAACATTGGGAGTGCCTTCTCATCAATACGTTGTGTAGACTGCTTTCCAGCTAATGTCTGTGCGAATGGATCAACGAAGCCCACGAAACCGGTAGTGTTCTCAGGAGCAGCCTCTTTGAGTTGGCCAGGGAGCTTTTCTGTGTCGTCTAAGAAGGGCTCCACAGGTGGATCAGTACGTATACGAAAGCGCACATATTATATAAGTTTTGAGTGGTCCACAAGATGGATGGGAAAAGAATAGGCATACTATTAGCTACAGCTTCTTTCTATTTAGCTAGCTAGCTATACTTTATCAGTGGTCACTGCTGCAGTACAGACTTGGCCAGCAGCTTGGCAGATCGCACTTGCACAGAGCAATTGAGGCGATCGTAATCATGCTGTCCCTCTACCAAACCCCAGGATTCAATCTGAAACTCCTCTTCTACTCGAGCAGCTGTAATCGCCTTGAATATATTGTCGTTACTGCCACTGGTAATGGTCGAGAAGGGAGACAATGGGTGCAGGACAGCATATGCCACCAGAAAACTCTTGGTTTCCGAAGCTACGGCATTGAGCGCTGTGAGATGCCAAGCATCCAATTGACGGGTCCATTCGGTACAGGCATCGTACAAGGATTCGGGATGGGGCAGACCAATGATTCCCTTTTCACGATTCCTACGAGACAACAACACTCCTTCTTGCGCTCCCATGGCTTTGACAGGTTGTACCCCGAACTGGTTCTCAATGAATTCATGTATCTCTCGCCAGGCTGCTTCCTGCCGACGGTGCAATATCCTGTCTTCCGTGGGGTCTGCCCAAAAGCAAGTCTGACGAATAATACCACACAGAAAGAGAACCAGAGCAGTTTGAGAATTTGACGGGTCAACACATGGCACGCAAGTGTAAACGAGTCATGATCTTGGTAGACTTTGTGTTGTCAGCAACAAAACAAAACAACAACGAAATAACTCACCGTATCCGTCGGCAGGAACTGCAAGGCTGTTTTCTGGTAATGCTCTGGATGTGCTGCTGTTTGATCCAAGGCAGTACACGCCAGTGTCATGAGTGGCATTTGTACCGGTCTGATTTGGTTGGTTTGGGCATCCCACTCGGCCGCAATGGCCCATGCCAAGAGTCTCGATGGGACGGACAAAATTTGACCTACTGGAGTCCGGAGTGTTCTTCCATCCAGAGTCACACCATACCATTGTTTGGGGGGTTCTTCCATCACAGTATTATTATTATTGTCCAGATGCGTGGTACTTCGAGGAATCAGTCGATCTTTGAGTAGTGATGCCTGCTTCTCGGGAGACATGTTCTCCTCAGGAAGATGCCCAATCACACCCGATGCACTCTGGGTTCCATCCACTCCTGCTGAAATTGGATTCTCCACGGTTCCTCCTCCTGGTTTGGCGGTTGCTGCTGCTCCCAATCGGAGTTCCCAGGGTGGACTCACTTCGGTGACTCCAACATGCTTATAGAATCTTTTGCGTGGTTGGGGTCCCTGCCCACCACTACTACCTTGGCTGGACAGACATCGGCGGTTCACAACAGTGACAATAGTGTGGTCATCTTTTGTATTAGCGAGGATCGGTCCAACTGGAAAACTCCTTCTGCCATGCTGAATCAGAGTTCTACTTGCAAAACCGATGGCTTTCCTCCTTCCACCTAGAAGAGGCAACATCATGGTTGATGCTTTTGGTTTCGGCTTTGTGGAAGCCGTTGGTTGTGGCCATGGTTGAGGCTTATTCATGAGCGGGACCCAAGAGAAGACGCACACTTTTCTCAACTGAGAGAAACGAAGCAAATCCCAAAGGGCCAAACCCCGTTTTCCTTCCCAAAGACAACAACACAAACGACCATGACAAGCTGCCCCTGCAAGAACGTCACATGGTCGTTGTCTTCGTTCACAGCTGCCGAATATGGAGATGTACATGCACTCAGTAAAGCCTTGGGCAAAACAACGACGAATGGATCACGGCAACGGCAATCCAGTGGACTCAGCGATGGGGGCATTACCCCTCTTCATTTGGCGGCCCAGCATGGGCATGTCGCAGCGACGTGGTTACTCCTACAGCAAGGACATCCCGTCGATGGATGGAGCCCGAGTGCCTCAGAACTGAATGCAAACGAAGAAGAATCAAGTTTGTCGCGACAACAATCCTCTTTGTTTTGCACACCCCTGCATCGGGCTTCGTTTTCGGGTTCCGTGGCGACCATGCAGCTGTTGTTGGACACCCAGCAAGCCAATTTGCTGGCTCGAGATGGAAGCTTTGGCGACCAAAGAACTCCACTTCATAAAGCTGCTGCAGGAGGGCGGTACTTGGCAGTGGCGTTGCTCTTGGATGCTTTGCGCCAAAGAAGCTTGCTGAAGGACGCCTTGACCACCTTGGATCGCAACCAAGAAACACCCTTGCAAGTGGCCCGGGCATGTCAACAGATTCAAGACCAAGAACGACAAAGTGTGGCTCGTTGGGATATCGTGGCGGGAGGAGCCCCTGCTGACTGGGACAAATGTGTGGCGCTGCTGGTAGAGGCAGAAAACGAAGTGGGAACATCATCCTCGCAACATATAGTTACGAATCAACAAGAGCAAGCGAACAACAGACCATCACTCCAGAAATTACCTCGTCATCAATTTGCAACGTTCGATTGTCTAAATTGTGAACCAAATGGGGAATGTATAACAGCTTCGTGGTCGGCAGCCTTTACCAAAGCTCTTCAGAGTTCTGTGGTTGGTTCTGGTGCTGTGGCATCCACATCAAGAGGAATCCAAAATGGCACTACACGAATTGACCAGGGCAACCGTGACGCACCACGGATTCATTCAGAAGAGGACCTTGTTCCTTCGGGATCGCCATCTTTGGTTGCAAACAACAATAATTCAAAAGATAGCAACCAGGAAAATGATGATCCAATGTCAACACCTATTGGGACATGCTGCGCGGCTTGCGGCAAACAAACCTTTGTGCTGTTTCCAGCGAACAAGGGCACACTGGTGTGCAAAAAGTGCAAGCCAAGACGGAGCAGAAGGGATAGATAATGATAACTGCTACAACATGTCTGCTACTGTCTGAACTGGGGACCTTGCTGACTGCAAAACATAACTGACTCGACTCCACTCTGGTCTGGTCTGCATTTCGATTTCTTCAAACGCAAACAGAGATTATAGACTACAGTTCTTAAACTAACTACGTATGCAGTTCTGAGAGAATTTTGCTCAAAAACCACCAGAAAGCAACAGCTTTCATATTCCTCCTTTTTATTCCCCCTCTGTCGTGTATTCTGGACCGTACCGGCCATCCAAATGAAAATTTTCGTCGTCATGAGTCCGCCAGGCAGATTGTTGGGGTTCATCATGGCGGAGACGCGGTGTTCTGGTTGCACACGCACACCAGCTCGGGTCTAGCGTTCTCCTCATCACATTCCACATGGTCCGATAAACGGCAGCAACCACCAGTGCAGCTATTGGGATTTTCCATGCAAGCTGCTTCGTTCAGCTCATATCTTGCCATGTAGAAATAGGCTTGATCAAGGCTAATGCAGTCGTCCGGTTCCACCAACATAACCCCAGCAACGGGCGGTGGAGTTGCAAAAAAATCGTCGTTAGGGGCTGTGGTGGGTGCTTCTCCAGCTAGGACTGCAACGTTCTCCTCGGTGGGTGCCTCGGACACGGCCACATCAGGATCCACCACCTCCTCCATGTCGTCAATTCCTTCTGTTTCCTCAGTAGCTTCACTTTCTTCTGGTTCCTCAGTCTCCTCTGGTTCTTCAGTCTCTTCTGGTTCATCTTCTTCCACCTCAATTTCCTCTTCCCCATCCATCTCTTCAGGCTCTTCGGTTGGCATGTCCATCGCATCAGTGGCATTGGCATCGGTCAAGTTGCCAGCCGCTATAGCGTCATCCTCGAGCTCCTCGGATTCCTCCATTTCTTCCTCGTCTTCGTCTTCATCTTCGTCTTCGTCCTTGTTTTTCTGTTTGTCCTTATCTTTGCCTCCTTCTTCCTCCTCTTGTTCGTCCTCCTCAGGATCTCCAATTGCGCTTTCAACGATAGGCTCGTCATCGTCATCGTCCTCATCCTGGTCCTTTTCCTTTGCTGCGGCTACGTCATCGTTGTAGTATTTGTCGTCGTCTTTGCTGGGGCTCTCCTCTGACGCCATGACAGGAGTTTCTTCTGCTGCCTCCACGGCCTGTTCGTCCCCATCTTCGTCAATGACTGGGAAATCGTCCTCGCCTTCCTGCTCTTCAAAGTCGAAATCTTCAGTTTCAGTTTCATTCATGTAGTCAGTCATGTTGTAGTCAATGACAATGCCCGTATCATTTACGGACATGCCCTCCTCCATATCTTCCTCGTCAACATCGACTTCTTCTTCCTCTTCCTCCTCTTCCAAATCTTCTTCTTCCTCTTGTTCCTCTTCCGCTTCTTCAGCTTCCAGCTCATCCAGATCACCATTGTCCTTGTTCTTATCTTTGTCCTTTGCTTCTTTTTCCTGAGCTTGGGCTATAACAACTCCAGGTGTTTCAAACTCGTAGTAATCCTGGTCCTTGTGATCGCGGACATCTGTCAATTGTAAATGACGTTGAATCTCCATATCGGAAGGGATATCTTGTCGAACTAGCTTGTTCCGGTGAGCTGATTTGTGGTTGTGCGCCTTTACCGACGTTGCCCCTCCGTGCAAGAGTCCTTCATCCCCAACAGCAGTGGCAGCCAACCGTAGCTTCATGCCATTAGGGGCATGATTGTCCAGCCAGTTGTAACGATTCTGTTGTGCGCGACTTCGACGACGGACACCACGTTCCCGAGCGCTTAATGCCAACCAGGGTAGCAACACCAGCAACAGGAATGAGTATGAACGAGGCATGTTTCGTCCCTATTCGACACTATACTCAGTTCGATAGGAGGTAGATTGTGGACTCTTTCTTGTGCAATGACCCAACTTAGTGGCTTCCACACAGGCGTCTTTCCTTCCTGGATTCCTGGATATGTTGTGTGCTGCAGTAAAGAGGACTTGGACCCTCCTAGGGATGAGATGACTTGGTTGGCGGCAATTCCGCCAGGGCGGAACCTCTTGGTGGCACGCAATGTCCCTCATCCAATTCAGCGCTCTGAGATAGAAACCTGGGACTTGAGGCATCCTAAATGAGGACATGGTGCCGCCCAAGTACGAAAGATATTACGCTGAAACGTGCTTCCGCGCCCAAAATTGGCTAGTGTTATTTAGACAATATAACCGCCCTTTGAGCAGAATCTTTGGTCACTTAGGTGGAAGAATTACTAAATCCTCTTGAGACCCAAGGACATATGTCAAAACATATTCTAAGTCTCTTGACAATTAGAATCACAATACTAGCTAGCCAGTATCACAATCCCTGTGCCGAAGTCGGATATTTATCTTTGATGATGGCAGAAGGGCTCAGTTGGCTGACAACACAGTGCCAAGCTTGCATAGATCCACAATAGCGGTGGAGATGAAAGTCCTTGTTTTAGGGAAATGGAAAGCTTTACTTGGAATCCTGATGTGAAGAGAAAACAAAAAGTCAGAGCTTGACTTGGGGGGATCAGTAGCTATGCATGGGGGGCGACTGGAGCGTGCAGAATGGAGAGTTTACTAGCTAGTATTCACAAACAGCTAGATGGCAGGCTTGGCGAGTTAGGGTAACGGAGAACTGAACCTTGAGATCCTGCCTGATCTCAACACAAGTTGAGCGTTTCTCAGGATGGATGGCTAGCAAGGTGAGCGAGCGAGTCTCATGAGACAAAAGAAGCTTGCTAAGGATCTACAAATTGGAGAGGAGACTTCAGTCCTTGAATAGGGAAACGGAAAGATGGTAGGCCTTGCATAGTTAGCCAGCTACTGTACTAGCTAGCACTCCATCGTTCATCGTTGGCTATTACACATATGGTCTAGTCAACGACGAACACCTGGCAGAATGTTCAGCAGTGTGGAATAGAATGCTTCGCAGCTGTCTGGACTTCTGGTGTCGGATGGTGCCGGTACCTTTTTGTGCTGTTTTGAAATGGCCGCATTGGCCTCCAAGCACCATTCAAAGACAATGGCATCAAAATGTCACCGTCAAAAATACAGTACTGTAGGCTGGTACGTGTTTGTCCGCTGTGCGGAAGGCTTTGGAAAATAGAGGGAAGCAGATCGTCGGCACTTGTCGGTTGCGCTCTTCCTGCGAAATCTGTCTGTTGTGTGGTTGTCTGTTTGTGTGTCTGTGTGGATAGTGGACAGGTACCGTACTGTAACAAATCATACTCACAACAACAATATAGCGAGCGGAGGACCATGACGATACGTCAGAACGAGGATTTCATCCATGAAGACGCCGTTCCTCCGAATGTGGAGCTGCAAAAACCTGAGGGATCTGCTTCCGAGTTGGAACTGATAACAACGGGCAAGGAAGAGCACGACGTAGAAGAACAAGCTGCAGCAGCGGTAGTAGAAGACCCTCCTCCTCGACGACGGAGCAGTCAATTCTCATCCGTGAGTGTCCATGAAGGCGACAGTGACTCTGTTCGTCAATGGAAGTCATCGCCCTTTGCCGTTGGTTTGGTGCCACGGACTTGGCAAGAGGAAATGGACCCCGGCAGAGAAGATAAGTCTTCCATTCCTCTCAGAATATCGGGGCTCGTGTGTGGCACTTTCCTGAAGAGGGAACGATTGGGGCACAATACCATTCTCTGGAAGACCAACGACGGCGACAAGCCTCGCATTCGACTCATGACAGGTCCTTTTTGGTTCGTGACAGCCTTTGTGACCATCCCCATCATTTCGGCCATCTCCTTTGTCCTTTTCTTTCAATATATCGCGGGCTGTTTTCCCGTTTGGGTTTCCATCATTTGGGGCGTCTGTCTGGCAACATGCCTCTTTTCTCTCGTGAGAGCTGCCACGATGGACCCGGGCATTCAATATCGATACCTGGAATCCCCACAGGATGGCTGGATCTGGAACGATCAAGCCAAGACGTATCGATCTCCCACCGCCAAATACGTGTCGACCTGTGCCGTGGTCGTGGAAGGATACGATCATGTTTGTCCATGGGTTGGAACTGCCATTGGAGCCAACAATATGCGCTGGTTTCGACGGTTTGTATGGATGGTTGGCATTTGCTTCGTGCTAGATGCAATCTTGATCATGATGTATGCTCACGGAGGAATCTCCACCGTCACGGTTGGGTGCAGTGGATTATGATTAGAGAAGCAACAAGGCAACACAATCACGCCAAAAGGATTGAAAAAAATTAGCTACGATCGGTACCGCAACCGAACAACCTCCATGATTGAAAACTTCTTTTTCATAAAAACGAAAGAACACAACAACTTACTTGCACAAGGATTGGGTGATGGCAAGGCAAGATTGACTCACAACAACAATAACAACATCAACAGCAAAAAATAGCACAAGATACGGGAGCTACTCATTAGGGGCAGGGAGGTATGATTGGATCATGTCTTGAACAGCTGTACGCCCTCGATCGGTTGATTGATTATGATTATGCAACGTACGTAAACTAAGGACGACGACTTCTAGTTGGTCTTTATCGGTAACCACTTTTTAGTTATAGCTAGCAGCAACCTACTTTAGTACGCAGACGGCCAAGTCTTGCCACCGTGTGCTGGATAATGAATTGACACCGCTACCCGATTCGATTCGATTCGATTCGCTTGTTCCACTATGATGCAACGATCAAATTAGACCACGACCTCACTCCAACAAACGACTGCCGACGACTAGTCTCTGTTGGGCCTCCGACAAGTCTTGGAACCCTAAAAGGGTACAAGAAACTCCCTTTTTTGTCGCAAGCTGCTTCATTGCTTGTATGCATGCTTTTTCTTTTTGCACGTGATCTTGATGCTCTGCCCCCAGAGGCGCCACCTTGTTCACCCAATGCGTAAGTGTACGGTTTTGTTCCACGGATTCTTGCCGAGCTTGCAATACGTCTGTCGAGACGGAGCTAGCTGGCATCATGGAAACGACACAGGCGGCTCGAATCAACCCACTCGAGTGCTCCTGTGGTGGTGTCGCGGTCTCCGACAGCCCATTGCTGGTCAACTCGGTTTCTTTGGATACCGTAGGAGGATTGGAACAATGGACCGTCCTGGAATCCCACAGCAACACATCACCGGGCCCCAACATGCAACTGATCACCTTGGAAGCATCGCCTAACACTACTGTATCATTGGGATCAATCTCCATCCAATCTTCGTCACCTAGTTCGTCCAAGCGTTGACGGTAGAAATTGGAACAGGAATGTATTGATGGTGTCGTATAATGCTGTGGGAAGAGTTTGTGCGATTGGGCCACCAGGACGTTGCCACCCGTTTGAGGGCTTGCGGGAAGGAGATTGACCAATCCTTGGATGCATTGCGGCCCTGGTTTGCAGCGAGGATTCTGATCCAGATGGAACCATCCCGGATCGGTGCGGTGCTTTGGAGGCATTGGTTGGGTTAGCTATTGGTACGAGACTTGCATAAAGTCTCGTGCTGGCTCACAGTGCTCTCTCTAACTTACGTGCTCGCCACGCCTCCACAAGACAATGCCATCCAAGGATGCTAGCAAGTCCTTCTCGCCATCGTGCAAGACCTCAAAAACTCGTCGGACGTTTTTGTGAGAGCGGACCGTCCATGCAAATGAAGAATGACCGGAACCATAGAACGGCATCATACCCCCTTCTACAGAACGAGGAAAGAACTTTGATTCTAGTGTGGACTTGTCTTTGCGGTGAACAGGAGGAAAGGAAGTCGTTTGGCCATTGTGCATGCCATTGAGTTCGGAATTGCCGTTCTGATCATTCTCAGATACCGCACCAACTGTTCTTGTCGAAGCCATAAACTCTGCCTCACTGGCTGCTTCAATCCAATCCCATGCCTTTCCTAATATATCGTCGCATTCCTGCGTCTGCAGTACCCCTGATATCACGGCGAATCCATGGTAGTCCAGAACATGCCGAAGCCTCTGACATGGCGACTGCCCCACCTTCCCTTCACAGCTTTCATCTTCTTCTTTGCAGCAGAGCCATTCGAATGGGACAGACTTGACCACCGAGTATCCATGCTGCCAAAGATCTTCCCATCGTTCGGCCTTCTCGACGGGAACAAACTTGGGAACAATGTGACGAGCGTACCATCGATCTTTTCTCTCTTGGCTTGACTTGAGATGGTTCATGCTCCTACGGCACTGAGAGATAGGAGCAAGCTGAGTTGCAATCCTGTCGTTCCGCTGGTGCCGAACCGGTACAGAGTGGCAAGCAAACAGCCCGAGAGACGAAAGACCGCATTATCGGCGAAAGATACAGTCGGTCTCATCAAGTCGCTCACATGGACTAATGGACAGGAGTAGATTTGAGAGCCACCCTTGGACTAGCCGCGAAACAACCGAAACACCCGAAACACACTCGACTCGAGAGGTATTTGGTTAATAGTCTGCGGTGAAGTACCCGTACGGTGGTATTAATACCACCGACTCCAGAGCACGTGGTGTCATGACTTCCAAGGGCCACAAGGGCAATGTCGCTGAAAACTCCGAACCAATCGAATCGAATCGAATTCCTTTTGTTGATCCTTTTGTTTATTCCGGAATGACTCTGTGACTGTCACTCAACTGGAACACGAAGGTCTCTTTCAACTGGTGCATCTGCTGCCCAGGCTTGGACGACAGAATCCGCCAGCAAGCTACCACCTGTGATACCGTTGCTCCATCAAATACAGCAGCAGAAGCAAGCAACAAAGCTATTCCAAACCGGATCAAACTATCCATCAAAGATGCTATCGACAATGGCAAGCACCCGTGGGGCTAAAGGAAGCTACAATGTGTCTTCGCCGAGGCAAGAAGAAGATGACGACATCAGCCGATCCAGTTCCTTTTTTGACGACGAAGACAACAGCAGTTCGGAGACAAAGAACACGACTGTTGCTCACGACAAGTCCAGCCCTACCAGCAATGCCGAAGAAGCTACAGCCAAGAAAGAAGAACAGGTTGCTCAGCCCGAGACCTTGGCAGTTCGAATCTCGTGGGCCCTTGTGTTGCTGGTCATGGTGGGTGCAGCGGTGACAGTCTCGTTGCTTGTATATCTTTACATGAAGCAAGACCAGGAAACTGCATTGGAAGACAACTTTTATGATTTGGCGAACCGTCTAGTAGAGGGTTTTCATGCCAATACCAAGTTGCGGTGTCAGACTCTGGATATGATGTCTCTTGTGGTGACATCGGCTGCCATGTCTTCACAGCAATCTTGGCCACTTGTGACTATGGACGATTTTGAAGCCATTGCGACAGCTGCTCGGACCATGGCTGGATCTGACTATCTTGGCTTGGTCAGCTATGTGACCAATGAAACTAGAAAAGACTGGGAGTATTACACAACTCAAAATACGGCATGGATTAATGAATCATACGCCTACCAAGAAGACTTCAAGAAAACTCACAACCGAACAGTAGGAAGCAGAGCTCCAGCACGTGCTCTTCGAGACATGGATGATTGGGCAGAACGCTGGCTAGTGGAAGAATATCCAGAGGTGGCTGCAGATGCCACTGCCGCAGCAGATGAACCCCCCTCTTATCGAAACGTTACCTTCGATGGTCCTGGTGGAATTAGCACTGAGATATTTCGTTATGGCTCTGATGAGGAAGGTGTCTTGGTTGTGGTGGATGACTCTCCTGGACCCTACTATCCCACATGGCAAACCTCACCTGCCCGAGAGTTTGCAAACTACGAGGTCAACTACAACACTGCTGATCCTGCGTACAACCCAGCGTACTCTGCTGCTGCTTCCGTAGTTCGCATCACTCATACAGCCATCTTTGGAGGTGTGTGGAATGTGGATGATACAGGTTACATCAATGAGAATGATGATTATGACTATCGAACTGTTCCAGTAGCGGCTCTGATGTACCCTGTCTTCGATACCATCTTGGGGGGCTTGGACCGAAACGTTGTGGCCGTTTTCGATACGGATGTTGAGTTTGGCGCCCTCTTTACTTCTGTGCTTCCCTCGGAATCCAACAAGCTCATGTGTGTGGTGAGAAACACCTGTGGTCAAGTCTTTTCATACGAAGTTGAAGGTGGTGGTGCCACCTACCTTGGTGCCGATGACATGCATGACACAGACTCTGAACATTTCTTGGTGGAGACACTGCTGGCAGACTTTGACCAGGCTGCTGGAATCTACAATGGTGCACCCATTAACAAAGACTTCTGCCCTTGGGTGTTGTCTGTCTATGGCACACAGGAGTTGCACGATGCACACATCAACAACCAACCCATATACTTCATGTGTGCTGTCCTTGGCATCTTTCTCTTCACGCTCCTTTGCTTTCTTTTATACGACTGTCTTGTGGAGCGCCGGCAGCGCAAGGTTGTCAGGACAGCCCGGAACAGTGAAAAGATAGTCTCTTCTCTCTTCCCCAAAGCTTTCCGTGACATGATGTACGCTGAAAACAACCACAAAGAGAAGCAACAGCAAAGCAGCTCCATGGCCAGCAACATGGCATTTCGAACGGGCAAAGCAGCAGAGGATCATCGCGAGCAAGCTCTACTGAAACAGCCTCAAGTGGGTGAATCCATTGCAAACACGCCACCAATGGCAGAACTCTATCCCGATTGCACAGTTTTCTTTGCTGATGTTGCAGGCTTTACAGGTAAGTCTACAGTCTGGGCACACTTTTCCTTTTGTTCAATGCAGGAGCTCACCTGGGTGGATGATTCATGCCTTGCTCATGGACAATCAGCCTGGAGCTCTTCTCGATATCCAGTGGATGTTTTCAGACTGCTAGAGACCTTGGTAAGTCTTATGTTTTAGCCAGCACTTGGCAAGGATCGACTGATGAATTTCATGCTTGCCAACAAACGATTGTATCTCCATCCTATGCTAGTATGGTGCCTTTGACAAGCTGGCTAAGAAGCACATGGTGTTCAAGATTGAGACTGTAAGTAGAGTAGTTTCCTGGGACGTGAGAACATGGTCAGTTTTCCTTACAGTGCATGATTGTCCTTCCCTGGCCTGCTTTGGATTTTTGACTAAATAGATTGTAAGTTCAAAGAAGATCGCACTTGCAACTAACTTTTTAAAAGGGGAGGACTCACATTTAATTTGGTCTCACTAATGACCAATGCAGGGAGACTGCTACGTTGCTGTGACCGGATTGCCAGTCGCCCAGCCCAATCATGCCCTGCTCATGATCAAGTTTGCCCGAGGCTGTTTGGCACAAATGAGCAAATTGACTAGGCAGTTGGAGGGCACACTGGGACCAGACACTGGCGGATTAGCTTTGAGAGTGGGCCTTCACAGGTAGGTCGTTCATCACAATCCTTCATGGAAGGAAACTTTTGCAAAATGGACCCACTTGGCTCACCCGTCTTCTTGTGGTCTTGTTGATTCATGTAGTGGACCAGTCACAGCTGGAGTGCTGCGTGGAGAGAAGGCACGGTTCCAGCTGTTTGGAGACACTGGTGAGTTGGGAAGTTAGTTGTCGGCACTAGAAGCAGCCAGGATGACCTCACATTCCCATATTGTTACTTCTGCCTTCTTCAGTCAACACGGCCGCAAGGATGGAATCCAATGGGCAAAGAAACCGAATCCATGTATCACAGGAAACTGCAGACATTCTGATTGGAATGGGAAAGGAGCACTGGGTGGCTGCGAGGGAAGAATTGGTTCATTGCAAAGGCAAGGGAGATCTACAGACCTTTTTCATTAGGGAAAGTGTCACTGGATCTGTTGCCAGTACAAGATCTACAAAATCTTTTGCCAGTAACACTTCTGATGAGAAGGATGTAGTTGAGGTAACGATGGCCCTTGATGTAATTGAGGTGGATGAAAAAATGAAGATAAACTGGATAGAGAACAACTGCAAACGCATCCGTTGGGTTGCAGACGTGCTGCAGAAGGAGCTTGAAGGGATGGCATGCAACCAGGGATCTGTCCAGGGAGATCCCACAGTTTGGGAGAATGAATCTTTTGTGTCATCGGATGGTTTCTCGTGGGATGAGGACTTTTCAACCGCGTTGCTTTCACCGGGCATCTATGACCTACAAGCTCAGGACACCTTGTCTGATGAGCTCAAGAGACAGCTAATGGAGTTTGTCTCACGAGTTGCCTTTGAGTGTCAAGGGGTCGTTTACAACTTTGACCAGTCATGCCATGCACTCATGTCACTTGACAGGATGCTGAAGCAGCTGCCGGATGTTTTTGGTTCTGAATTTGAGCTGTCACCTCTGGCCAAGTTCACGTGCATGTTTGCAACTCTGATTCGGAACCTGAGCCCACCCGAAACACCAGACATCAATCAGGAAGGCAGCAGGCATGTTCTTCACCACCAAAGTGTGTCCCAATCAAGATCTGCCAAAATGGCTCTGGAACTCTTGAAGGAGGATCGATTCGATGGTCTTCAGCAAGTGCTTTGCAAAAGCAATACTGATTTCCAGCAGTTCTGGGGCTTGGTTCAGAATTTCATTCTAGCCACTGACCAGACTTCAGGCGTGTTGTCGGAAGAACGCAATCAGCATTGGGATCTCTGCTTTCCCAGCAGTGATGGCTACAGTATGAGCACTGCTGCCCCTCACCAGAAGGCAGTGCCCGTTCTGGAGCACATTATGCTGTTTGCTGAAGAAGGGCATGCTGTACAACACTGGGAAACCTATGTGAAATGGAGTGCCCTCTTCAAGGAGGAGTTCAAATGCAAGCATGGGGGAAAACTCCCTCAGGAGGATCTTGATCTACTTTGGGACCAGAGTCAGCTGGAGTACTTTGACAGCTTCATCCTTCCAATCTCAAACAAGGTTCACCAGGCCGGGATTCTGGGTGCAGTTGGTGCTGAGTTCCTTACCTATGCCTCTCAAAATCGGCAAGAGCTGGGTTCTCTGGGATTATCACTTGCACCATCTCGGGTGAAAGCATTGGGTAAAACAAGAGAAGAGGAATTGGCAAGGTTGCCTGGTGTTGAAGTAGGCATGGAACCAATGAATCTGCACAGATTGCCGTCATCGAAAGTGTTGCGGACATCCCCGGGCCCGAAAGGTCAGACAGCCAATATTGCAATTCTCGACGCGGCCAGTGCCAGAAATCAGCCTGAATTTGACAATGTTGTCGAAGTTTGAGCAGTTGTGATCCGAATCATGGCTTTCAGGTTGTTGGTGTGCTGTTGGGGAACATCCATCCTCCGCTGAGAAGTGTTACATGTGCAGTTCTTCTAATTCGTATTTATTTCTAGTAGCAACTACATAGTACTTTTGTGCCGTGTGCTGAAGAAGGTCATGACATACAAAACACTGGAAATCTATGTGAACTAGTAGTGCCCCACCATGTTGTTCTCCAGATGGACTCTACTCGCAGGTTACACGCCCAACTGCTCATCATCTCGACGTCACAGAGCGAGGCAATAAGAGCAGACGAAGGTTCCATGATGGGATTGCTGTCACCGTAGCTATTGAACACTTGAGTTCTTGTCGTGTTCGGGATCTGCAGAGAATGCTCTGAAGCGCTGCCATCGGAAGAGCCAGAGGCGATCTCCATGGAGGACACAAATATAGGCTTTCCATGGCAACTGCCGTCCAAAAATTGCCCTTTCACGTTGTAGGCGATCACATGCGAGGCGACTCGAATTTTGCGGTGCTTTTGCCAAAGGTCATCTCCAAGGTTGGTTTCGCTGTAGGAGCAGGCTCATTGTAGGCATCTGTGGCAATCAAAGGCGGCTTCTTCTTGTAGACGCTGGTGGCCAACGTGGGCTCCAGCATGGTGGTTGCCACGTCGTTGTAATGGCAATTGAGCTTGTCGACAACAACAGAGGCGTCGTTGTAGGTGTCGACGCCAAAGAAGAGGCAGGCGTGAACGAGGAAGAGCTGCTAGTGGTATCCCGAGGGAGAGATTAGCTCACAGACGTTGGTAGAAGGGCAGATAATTCGCCGTGGTTTGCGGCTCTTCTTGTGGTTGTTCTTGTTGTTCTTGTTGTCGCACGTGGCTGGTACCGGTAGCGTGCGACCTTTCGCAATTTGTGGTTGTACATGGTGGTGCTGTTGTCGCCGACGAAAGATGACTTGTAGGCGTGGTCGACAGCCATGTCACCGTAGTCGTTGGTAAGAATGGTGTCACTGTATGCATCGTCGTAAGTCAAGGGTGGCTCCTTGTAAACGTTGGCGACTGAAATGGGCTCTTTCGAGATGGTAGTTATCGGCTTCTTTGCGCGGTCAGAAGTTGGCTCTATGACACAATGAGTGAGCACTCAAGGATGACTTATTGTGAGCCAAGGAAACGCAGCTGCGGTTGGAAGACACGAATCGAAAATGGGTTTCGTGAAGGATGCCTTTTTCGGTTTTCCATTATGGTTGTTATTGAATCGGCGGAGGAAGTGCTGTTCTTGCTGTCATGTCTCATGAGTTTGTCAGGATCATATCCCCTTGTTCGTACCGTACAGTATGGCATCTTCAAAGGGGTGGACAAACTTCTCTGCAGTAGATGGCATACCGAACACACAGCTGGCAAGCGAGAGTTGTTGAGGAGCGTACCATGGACGCTGGCTGCTGTCGGGATCCCTTTGAGGCGTCGGCAGTCAAAGGAGGTGCCTTGTTTTGTGTACGGTATCTACGAAGATCAAAAGTGGATCCTCGGAGGCACTCTTCATGTTGTCGTAGACCAAGACGGAGGACGACGGTTGTCGGCTTCTTTCCACGGTCGGAAAATGCATTCACGCTGTTGGCGAGGGCTAAAGAGGCGTCGTAGGTCTCCTTGGAACTGATTGTCGAGTTGTCACGGTCTCCAGCCGAATTGGTGGTTTTGTAGGCAACACCTAACTAAAGGAAGGCGACTCCTTGTATCGGTAGGTATCGCTCCTGTCGTCACGGTCAAGGTTGTTGTTGGTGGTGTTGCTGGAACCGTAGTTTCGTCGGCGACAAACAAACTAGATTCTTGGGAAGATTGTCGGTTTTCCACGGTCATTGGGATTGCTCGTTGGGGTACTAGTACTTAGCAGCAGACTCGAAGCAGGATTTGCAGGAGTACTATTAAAAGCTAGTAGCGGCGTCGATGTGGTTGTCGCCATTGTGAGCTGCCCGCTTTCATGGTCGTCGTCATTGAGACGACCGTTGGCAGCAGAAAGCTCTTCGAGTTGCAGTCATTCCAACGGTGATCAAAGTTGAAAAAAGAGCTGAAAAGGTTGAAGTTGAGCTAAAGTTGTTAAATCCTTGGATTTTTTATTAATAGAACAGTTCCTTGTTAAATCCTCGTGTTTAAAATTATTGGATGCTACCGCTTCACATTTCGTTGTTACAGGTCACTCTATTTGGAGCGAAGAGGCGGAATGTCCTCATTTACTTAGTTTTAAGAAACATATCACCTATTTTAATAACATCATCTAGCTAGTAGAATAAACGGTTGCATCATTCATTGGCTCCAGCGAGCTACTATTAATAGTGGCTCCACTGTGGCAATTTCTCCCACAAACCGAGCTGCAACAAAACAGCTAACAAAACGCAGCATCATCAGCTTTGTGCTTACTAGTATGCATAATGCATAGTACTCCCTCTTTCTAGCTTTCGTTATTGCGATAAGGCGCTCGCCGCCCTCGAAGCTCGAAGCTCAGTTGCATTTCTCCGTTTCCCCGCAAAATGCGCGTAAAAGTATCGATACAGAGAATACGGGTGTCGCTGTTGCGTCCGGCGTCCGGTAGGCCGCAAAAGCCTTCCAGTGCTTGGACTACATGTATGTAATGTCGAGTGGGGCTGATGCTGACGTACCGTATACAGTACTCTCCAGCAGCTACATGTACCACTGGTAGTACCGATTCAGCAAAGGTAATAATAAGTGCCATTAATTCAGTACAACAATAAGATGAAACATGCAGGATCGGCCTCACTCTTTTAACCGCCTCACCCCTACTGGTACACAGCGCCACAACACTGAAACTTCGCCCTCCAGCTCCAGAGTCGAGTCAAAGAGACGAGTATCGAGTCGAGAGTCGATACGGTACTAGTAGTAGTCTCCACCCCTGGCCTGAAATGCGGCACATGTACCGGTGCCGGAGCGGCATGATACTAAGCTTTGCGGTTTGACCATTTCAGGATTTAGGTGACGGGACATTGTGAACTCGCTTGGAGGAATGAAAGGTCACAGATACCTCCAAGCTTTTGACAAAAGCAGAAGGGGTGCACATCTTCCTTTTCGTTGACAAATTCGATTATTGACATTAATGACTGTTGCACCATGTTTCATTGTTTTCCTTGCGACGCAAAGTACTAAAATCCCCTAGTCTAGTCAGTCGCTAGCTCTAAGGCTTACACAAAGCTCACTGAATTATTGACCAGGTACACCGCGTAGTCCATCACCGAAACAGCGTGTCAAACTTCCCCTTCGGTAAGCCAAGGCCTTCTTTTGGCATTGCCCTTGCCCTTCCTCCTCCGTCATCCTCATCTTTGGAGTTTTTGAAGGACGACGAGTTTCGAGTTTCGAGGGGCTCGTTCCTGAGTTCATCCAGGATAGCCAGAACCACAATTTAGTTTCGGTGCTGGAAAGCTAGCTCCAATAACTTTAGCAATAGTAAGCAAACAACACACCAGCTATTCCAAACCAGATCAGAGTATCGGTCAAAGATGCTATCGAGCATCCACGTGAGAAAATCCCGCCACGGCAGCTCCAGCTACAATGCATCTTTGCCGCGGCAAGAACATGATGAAATGAGCCAATCCAATTCCTTCTTTGACGACGAAGACAACAGCGTTTCGGAGACTAAGAGCACGACCTATGCTCACGACAAATCCAGCCCTACCAGTAAATCTGAAGACGCCAAGGAAGAAGAACAGGTTGCTCAGCCCGAAACATTGGCAGTTCGAGTCTCGTGGGCCATTGTGTTGTTTGTCATGGTGGGTGCGGCCGTGGCAGTCTCACTGCTCGCCTATCTTTACATGAAGAAAGACCAGGAAAGCGCATTGGAAGAAAACTTTTACGATTTGGCGAACCGTCTAGTGGAGGGCTTTCACGCCAATACCAAGTTGGGGTGTCAGACTCTCGATATGATGTCTCTTGTGGTGACATCGGCTGCCATGGTTTCACAGCAAGCTTGGCCATTTGTGACCTTGGATGATTTTGAAGCCATTGGGACAGCAGCTCGGACCATTGCTGGATCTGACTACCTTGGCTTGTACGTCTATGTGACAAACCAAACTAGAAAAGGCTGGGAGAACTACACCACTCAAAACACGGCATGGCTTGATGAGTCATTCACCTACCAAGAAGACTTCAAGAAAACTCACAACCGAACAGTTGGCAGCAGGGCTCCAGCTCGTGCTCTTCGAGACAGGGATGATTGGGCGGAACGCTGGCTAGTGGAAGAAGATCCAGATGTGGCTGCAGATGCCACTGTCGTAGCAGATGAATCCCCCTCTGTTCGAAATGCTACCTTTGATGGTCCTGATGGAATCACCACTGAGCTGTACCGTTATGGCACAGAAGAGGAAGGTTTCTTGTTTGTGGTGGATGAGTCTCCTGGACCCTACTATCCCATGTGGCAAGTCTCGCCTGCCAGGGAGTTTTCATACATTGATGTCAACTACAACATTGGTGATCCCAGTTACAACCCAGCATTCTCTGCTGCTTCGGAAGCAGTTCGCACCTCTCAAAAGGCCATCTTTGGGGGTGTGTGGAATGTGGATGACACAGGTTACATTGATGAGAACGATGATTATGACTTTCGAACTGTTCCAGTAGCGGCTCTGTTTTACCCTGTCTTCGATACCATCTTGGGAGGCTCAGACCGAAATGTTGTGGCCGTTTTCGATTTGGATGTTGAGTTTGGCTCCCTCTTTACTTCTGTGCTGCCCTCGGAATCCAACAAGCTCATTTGTGTGGTGAGAAACACCTGTGGTCAAGTCTTTTCATACGAAGTTGAAGGTGGTGTTGCCACCTACCTTGGTGCTGATGACATGCATGATGCAAACTATGAACATTTCGCGGTGGAAACACTGCTGACAGACTTTGACCAGGCTGCTGGAACTTACAATGGTGCACCCATTAACAAGGACTTCTGCCCTTGGGTGTTGTCTGTCTATGGCACACAGGAGTTGCACGATGCACACATCAACGATCAACCCATTTACTACATGTGTGCTGTCTTTGGTATCTTTCTCTTCACGCTCCTATGCTTTATTCTATATGACTGTCTTGTAGAGCACAGGCAACGCAAGGTTGTCAGGACAGCCCAGAACAGTGAAAAGATTGTCTCTTCCCTCTTCCCCAAAGCTTTCCGTGACATGATGTACGCTGAAAACAACCACAAAGAGAAGAAGCAGCGAAGCAGCTCCACGGGCAGCAGCGTGCCATTTCGAACAAGCAAAACAGCAGAGGAGCGTCTTGAGGAAGTTCTACAGGGACAGTCTCAAGTGGGTGAATCCATTGCAAACACACCACCAATGGCAGAACTCTATCCCAATTGCACAGTTTTCTTTGCTGATGTTGCAGGCTTTACAGGTAAGTTGCGGTCTAGGCACACTTTCCTTTTCATCACTGCGGGACTCACCTGGGTGGTTGATTCCTACCTTGCTCATCAACAACCAGCCTGGAGCTCATCTCGATATCCCGTGGATGTTTTCAGACTGCTAGAGACCTTGGTAAGTCTTACTTTTTAGCAAGCATTTGGCAAGGATCAACTGAACGAATTTTATGCTTACCTACAAACTATTGTATCCTCACTTTACGCTAGTATGGTGCCTTTGACAAGCTGGCTAAGAAGCACAAAGTGTTCAAGATTGAGACTGTAAGCCAAGAAGGTTTCCTAGGACGTGAGAACTGTTTGATGGTCAGCTTCCTTACAGTGCATGATTGGTCCTTCCTTCCCTTCCCTTCCCTTGGCTTTGGATTTTGATGAAACAGATTGTAAGTTCAAAGAAGATCACACTTGCAACTTAAGTTTTAAAAGGGAAGGGCTCACATTTACTTTGGTCTCACTAATGACAAATGCAGGGAGACTGCTACGTTGCTGTGACCGGATTGCCAGTCGCCCAGCCCAATCATGCACTGCTCATGATCAAGTTTGCCCGAGGCTGTTTGGCACAAATGAGCAAATTAACTAGGCAGTTGGAAGGCACACTGGGGCCAGACACTGGTGAATTAGCTTTGAGAGTGGGCCTTCACAGGTAGGGCTTCACGATGCTCCCTGGAAGGAACCTTTTACAAAAGAGACCCAATTTGCTTACCAGATTTTTCTTGTGCCCTTGCTGCTTCCTGTAGTGGACCAGTCACAGCTGGAGTGCTGCGTGGAGAGAAGGCACGTTTCCAGCTGTTTGGTGACACAGGTGAGTTTAGGAGTTGTCAGTACAAAAGCAGCCAGGATGACCTCACATTCCCTTATTGTTGCTTTTGCCTTCTTCAGTCAATACAGCTGCAAGGATGGAATCCAATGGGCAAAGAAACCGAATCCATGCATCACAGGAAACTGCAGACATTCTGATTGGAATGGGAAAGGAGCACTGGCTGGATGCAAGGGAAGAATTTGTTCATTGCAAAGGCAAGGGAGATCTGCAGACCTATTTCATTAAGGAGAGTGGCGCTGGATCTGTTGTGAGTGCAAGATCTGAAGTCAGTAACAGTTCTGAGGATGAGGATGAGTTTGAGGTAGAGATGGCCCTTGATGAAATTGAGGTGGATTCAAAAATGAAGATAGAATGGATAGAGAACAACTGCAAACGCATCCGCTGGGTCGTGGACTTGCTGCAGAAGGAGCTTGAAGGGATGTCATGCAACCAGGGATCTGTCCAGGGAGATCCCACAGTTTGGGAGAATGAATCTTTTGTGTCATCGGATGGTTTCTCGTGGGATGAGGACTTGTCAACAGCATTGCTTTCACCAGGCATCTATGGCCTACAAGCTCAGGACACCTTGTCTGATGAGCTCAAGCGACAGCTAATGGAGTTTGTCTCACGAGTTGCCTTTGAGTGTCAAGGGATCGTTTACAACTTTGACCAGTCATGCCATGCACTCATGTCACTTGACAGGATGCTGAAGCAGCTGCCGGATGTCTTTGGTTCTGAATTTGAGCTGTCACCTCTGGCCAAGTTCACGTGCATGTTTGCAACTCTGATTCGGAACCTTGGCCCACCCGAAACACCAGATGTCAATCTAGAATGCAGCAGGCATGTTCTTCACCACCAAGGTGTGTCCCAATCAAGATCTGCCAAAATGGCTCTGGAACTCTTGAAGGAGGATCGATTCGATGGTCTTCAGCAAATGCTTTGCAAAAGCAATACTGATTTCCAGCAGTTCTGGGGCTTGGTTCAGAATTTCATTCTAGCCACTGACCAGACTTCAGGCGTGTTGTCGGAAGAACGCAATCAGCATTGGGATCTCTGCTTTCCTAGCACTGATCACAACAGTACAAGCACAGCTGCCCCTCACCAAAAGGCAGTATCAGTTCTGGAGCACATTATGCTGTTTGCTGAAGAAGGGCATGCTGTACAACACTGGGAAACCTATGTGAAATGGAGTGCCCTCTTCAAGGAGGAGTTCAAATGCAAGCATGGGGAAAAACTCCCTCAGGAGGATCTTGATCTACTCTGGGACCAGAGTCAGCTGGAGTACTTTGACAGCTTCATCCTTCCAATCTCAAACAAGGTTCACCATGCCGGGATCCTGGGTGCAGTTGGTGCTGAGTTCCTTACCTATGCCTCTCAAAACCGGCAAGAGCTGGGTTCTCTGGGATTATCACTTGCACCATCTCCGGTGAAAGCATTGGGTAAAACAAGAGAAGAGGAATTGGGAATTTTGTCTGGTGTGGAGGGAGGGATGGAACCAATGAACCTGAAGAGACCACCAAGGAAGTCATCCCCTGAATTTGACCATGTTGTCGAAGTTTGAGTAGTAGTGATCGGAATTATGGCTTCCAGTTCAATCCTCCACGGGAAATGTTGCATGTACAGTTCTGCTAATGCCTATTCTGACGGCAAACTACATAGTCCTATACGATTTGATCAAATCATTGTCTTATTCTATCAGAGCCATCAAAGACTAGCCATCTCAGGATGAATCGAATCAACGGTTCCAGATTTTGTGTGATGTTTGCTGAAGAAGGTCATGCATGACGTACAACGCTGGGAAACCGATGTGAAATTAGAGCTGGAGCGATCACACGCCGCCCAAGTTAGGTCTCTCAGGATGCTTCGTAGCGTCGATTTCCAGGACAAGAACAACAGAGGTAGAGAACGGCACACCCTACCCACATGATTGCCGTGCAGACTCCGGCTACTTGAAGACCGAGATTCAGAGCCGGTGCATCATCTCTGAAGACGACATATGAAGCCACCACGGCAATGGCGGATCCCACAAGAAAGAAGACATCGGCCAAGAATAAGGCTTCTTCTTTGGTCGTGTGAATGGCTCGGGGACGACGGAAGCTGGACGATGCCGTTTGTTGATGACAGCGGAGCCAGAGAATCAATGCAGCGGCAGCCAGAAACCAATGAACGGATAGGCTGTGCAGGACAGCAGAGGTAAGAGGATGTCTTTCTTGAACCATTGCCGAAAGCAGTCCGAAGATCCCTGAGACAGCCAGGGCGAGTTGGAACAGCATATCGTGCTGGACCCATTCGACAATCGCGACTACCGTGAAGCACAAGGAGGCGGCAAAGGCGAGGATCATCGTCTTTGTGACTGGAATGCCGTTGAGGTCAAAGACGATTGGAGAACTCGTCTCTGGGAAAGGGTTGGCTTGGACAGAAGGTGGAGGCTTGGAGTGTGTTCCACCAGGACCAGAGGTGGGCACTTCGACTTGAATTGGTATCTCTTCTTGCGTTGCCCTTGATGGGGCTCCACTGGGCGCATACGAGCTGTGCTCGTCGGTATTGCCCCCACTTGCGGACTCCGATGATGGAGCTGCCGCGTCTTCTGGGGCGGAACTCACCAGCTCTTGCTCTTCCGCTGAGGTCGCAAGATGGAGCTCCGGAAGCGACTCTGATTGAGTCGGTTGAGGCGCCGATTGAGGCAACTCTGATGACTGGGGCTCGGGCAATGCTGGGGATGCAGCTGGTTGGGGGTCTTGGCGGCTGTTGTTGGGATCGAAAGGCTGGGAGAAACCAAATGCCGCTGCCTGCTCCGACTGCTCGGTTGTCAGACTGTCCCACTGGATGGACTCACTGGTAACAATGCCTTCGTCTTGCCCCTGACTGATAGAAGTGGTAACAACAGGTGGCTGTGACAGGACCATGTGCTTGTTTTGATCCGTCATCCTCAGGGAGGCAATGTCGGAGGACCCTCGGACCAATCGTCTATTGGTATTACTCGGCTGGTGGTTCTCGGCCCAGGCGAGGCGTTCCACTGCCAGCCATAAGGTCAGCAGACACGCCAAGAGGAACACCCAACGTGACAGCATATCCCAGGATGGTATCCATTGCGTAAAGAAGGAACGAGTCTTGTTTGCGGGGACAATTCCAATGCTCACACTACCGCCATCGAATTGGCTGGAAGATGCATACGATGCAACAAGGACGCTCTCGCTGCTAGCTACCCAATGACGCTGTAACGACTTTTCATCTGGGAGGGAAGAGACGCTTTCTGCAGTAGTTCTTGTTTCACTGCAGTTGGTGGGTACCTCCGAATCCTCATCCAGCAGTGTGCTCCCGTCCGTAATAGTAGCATCATCCTCAGCCAACGGATTACTTGGGGCTTCCCCGTCTTGTGCAAAGCGACCAACGCGGTTATGATTGTGTAGTTCCTGCTCGTACACATCTTCAGGGCGAACCACCCATGCGTGCTGATATTTTGGTCGATAGGCTGGATGATGTCGGGGGTACTTGCGACCAGTGGTGAGATTGTGCATCTTGTCGGTAATCTCGGAGAGTTCGTCTTCGTAGGGCGCCATGACAAAGCCATCGAGGCACTTTACATCCGTGCTAGATTCGGAAGCAATAGTGTTTGCCTCATGGTTGGCATCATACAAGAGCGCCCGTGTGGAGCGCATTGGTGGTAGCCGCCTGCCATCGGGGTCCGTTCGAATTCCTTGGTGGACTCTTGTTGCTCGACCCATAATATCTTGGATGTAAAGAAAGATGAGGGCGGATCTCTTAACCTTCTTTTGCAGCTGCTGTGGTTTCCCAATTATTGGCGGTTGAGAGTATGTTGTGATATCCATTTGATTGCCAGGAACAACCATCCACAAGTGGAAAACTCGCTACATCCCACTCGTTCGTTCGGTCGTGCCTAATGTGCCGTGTGGGTACCTTGGCATCCGAAACGATATCAATTGCTTTCAGATTGTGGTTGGTTTAGAAAAGGGGATTCCCTTTGGATAAATGCGGTTATATCCCCTTTGGCAATCTACGGTTATTAATAATTCAGTGAACAAAGAATTGATTTGTAATTAGAACGCCACTGTCAACTCTTCAGTAAGTACACGGAACCACTCAAACAACGTTCCCACACACAGACTGCTTGAGCACCAGGCGTTTATGTGACAAGACGTTGAATCAGGCTTAGGAGACTTAAAGAAACTGGTAGTCATATGCTATGTACACATGTACACCCCAGAAGTCGGATAAGCTACCGGTACCGGTACGGGTAACACCCCTCACATTTTATACTCCCGAGCTGCCCCCAAAAAAGCACCGAGCAGCCAACTTTTGATGCCGATCCAATGCGACTGTTGCCTACCAGTAAGAGATGGCCAAAAGCTAGCTAGATGACTTTCATTGCAGGTGCGAAGCTACTTTGGATAGCTCGGACCACTTGCCCACATCACCTTGGCTACAACTGTTCAGCAGTATTAAACTAGAACTTCAGTGCAGAGCAGCTTTGGTAAGATTCATTCCCCTACTGGTACCGTGGTGAGGAGAGAGGGTGTGCCTGCTTCACACCTCAGCAGCTGCGGCACCCTTGTTTCACGCTGGGGTTATCCTGCCCACTTTTGGATCTTCCTTTCCTACATTTTCGGGACAGTAGTGCAGGGCAGGGTTTCGGGGCCCGGCCAATAGGACCACATCATTCGAACGTTTGCTTCAATTCCATGTGTTTGTTTCCGTTCTGCGGGTGGGGGCTCCAGTTCAACGACCAAGGCAGAATTGACAAGACTTCGTTGTCCTTGCTATCGTCTCTGGGGCCAAAACGGTACCAGTGAAATCGGATTGATACCGTCGCAGGTTAAATCCAAGCTCCACGTGCACGTTGCAAGCTAGAGCAACCCAGAGGTCAAATGCGAGCAAGCAATCTTTTGGTGGGGTATTGTGGCTCGCCGCGGCAGATAACAGCTGGTTTTTCTCGTCGACGAAGATGAAGGACGACGCACCAATTCTACCCTAACAACCATAAGGACGAACCTCTACCGCTACCGGTACAGCACGACGAAAAGCGCAAACTGACAAAATCAAACCATGCGAGACTTATTACCCCATGCATTGCAGCATTGGGTGGTTCAGCATGTTTTATCGCAGCGGATACTTCAAATGATCCGGCAGCAATACTGGTACTGGTAGGACATGCACCCATACGGAGGACAACGCACCGATAAATTCTGCTTGGCATCAAAGCAACGTACCTCTACCGCGTACCGGTACGGTAGTTCTGGTACGGTACCACGAAAAGCACAAACGCAACAGCTCAAACCATGACGAGACTTGCTCCGTGCATTGCTGCACTGGGAAGTTCACTTCGGGGTGTTGCAGCGGATATCCCTGAGTACTAGGCAGGATGCACCAGCAGCTTGATACAACGCTGTCGAAAACCCAAAGGCACCCACCCTGTGGGCCTATTGTTTGCTCAATGTGACAGTCTTCAAGTCCAGCATGGTCGAATGTCCCGGGCGGCATCGATTCAAGCGTACGTGACGGTTTCACATGGACTTTTCTTTCGCATGATGTTCCCGTTCGTCCCGGTCGAAATACAAAGCAAAGGAGGCCTGAAGACACAAGCTTATGCCATTGTTAGTTCACCGTCCACCCAGCCACAGCGGCGGCCAGTTAGGTTCTGAACGTCGTTTGTGTCCTAGAAAGACGGGGAGCGAGCTTTCTAAGGCTCGCCAGAGCGAGACATCAATGCACGCTCGTCAGTAGTGTCTCGAGAGCTAACTCCAACACACTACACATTCTACTAGCTAGAGAATCCTATCCTTTCATCGTGCTTTGCTTGCTTGGATAGCCAACTTGCCCGCCCTTTTTGGTTGTCCTGGTGGCTTGACACTCCACTCCACTGTACCGGTACTTGTAACCTTTTAAAAAGCAAGATCAAGACCATTGCCTTTTTTTTCTTCACGTACTAGCTATGCATAGTACTGTACCAACCACATGCAACTGGATTTCTGCTACATGTGTGTTTTAGCCATTTTCATTATGCATCCATTGTTCCACTTGAGCATCAGCTTCGAATTTGTTGGCGTGGCCCTGACCAACCCAAAAGGATGAGCCAGTTTGAACCATTGCTACGGAACATTCCGCGGTCCCAGAAATCCTTGAAATATCACAAAAAAAGAGAAAAGACGCCAACAATTTTGTTAAGTCTCACATTTTACTTTTCATTTTTGTCGAATTCAAACCGCGGGTGAGGATTTAGGCGCAATTGGGATTCATTTGTTCTAAGTATAACCTTCGACTTTGGAGATTTGTATTAAGGAATTTGGTCACAATGATGGCGCGACGAGGGCTGGTTTTTACCGTAGCATTCTTAATAATGCTTTTTTATGTTTATCAGAAACAGATCTTTTGTTGTAATTTGCATCGAAATGGCTGTTGCCCTTCTCTACTGCTACCATACGGTAGCTACCGTACTTGTCTCATCAGTGCTGGGCTGCCTTTTCAAATGAAGATATGCATACGGTAAGGCCGCTCTCTACCCAAGCGACTAAAGTAGCGACTAAGCCATATTTGGTAGTTTAGTCGATAGTTTAGTCTCTGAGGGTGGTGTCTACCCAAGCGACTAAACGTCCCACGGACTAAAGGCTTTAGTCATTATTTTCGCTCACCGACTAACGGGAGGCTGGTTAGTCGGTGAGCGAACATAACGACTAAAGCTTCTTTAAGAACTCTTTAAAAAAAGAACAGCACTTTGAAAAAAGAACAGCACCCTCATTGCACAGCCTCACTATCAGAGCATCGCGACAGAGCTGATAGAGTAGAGGTGCAACCGATCGAACGATCGAAGAGGAGTATCGGCCGATAACAAATTCCACACTCCTAGCCTCACTATTAGGCCATCGAATCAGTGCCAATAGAGGAGAGGTGCGAACGTGCGAACGATCAAATGCAAAGGATCGAACGATTGAATGATAGTAGAGGTGCATCGCAATGGTGTGTTTTGAGTCTTGTTATCTCAGTCTTGTTATCTCAGTCTTGTTATCTCAAAAAAGTAATCACTTCTGTTAAGTCTTTGTTTGAGTCCTTTAATCCCTTCTGTTAAGTCTTTGTTTGAGTCCGTTACATCTTTTTTGAGTCCTTTAAGTCCAGTAGTGTTCCGTTTAGTCATTTGTTTAGTCATTTGTTTAGTCGGCGGGTAGACAGGTTGAAATGACTAAAGAACTGACTAAATTGTTTAGTCCGAGATTTAGTCATCTGCTGGTAGACACCACCATTACTAAAGGATAATGACTAAATCTTGAACTAAACAACCACCTAAAGGTTTCCTTTAGTCGCTACTTTAGTCCCTCCGGTAGAGAGCGGCCTAATAAAGCACGAAATCTGGGTTTGTACCTGAGGGTGCTAAGCTGCATTCTGATACAAGAAAGTCTTCCTGTATGGCATACTGTACCTATTGGTTTGGTTCGTCTTGCCATACGGTAGGATGCTGCTTGTTGATCAGTGTGAGGTTTGCTTCTGAATTGGTCAGCAGCCAATCTGTTTAAAACTTTCTTTTTCTCTTAGAGTCTCGTTACTCCATACGCCAGAGATTTAGATAAGATGCCGTAGCAGTAGCACCTTGATTTGCTGTTGGGGCTTCAACCATTTCTCACCAGCGCTGAAGCATTCTTGTAAGGTGCCTGGAGTTCCGGCCTCAGTATCATACATTTTTGTTTCTAAAGATCTGTAATTGGTAAAATTAAACATTCTTCCTGAGTTACTAAAATCATAAAAACAAACAAGCGGTAGAAAAAATGGCGTGCCCTGCTCTCAAGTTCTTTTCAACGGTCCTTCCGAGTAAAACCTCCACACAGCCAAGCAACAGATGCCCATGAAACAAAAAGGCTCATCAATGCTGACTTCTCCACTGCACCGGTGCTACTGTTGATTTATTTGATCCTTCCACCAGAGTGTTTGCCAAAGGAGCGAGTGCTTTTTCGTTCTCTGGATCGGCAGTTGCTGGTTATTTTGTTAGTTAGTTTAGATACAGTAGTTATTAGACATCATGAGCCTTCGAATGAAATCGAGACTGTTGGCGTGTTTTATCAGCAACAGCAAAAAGCACTTGTCCGACGACGATGACGAGGGTGATCATGACACGAGCAATCTACTGGAAGAAGAAAGCGACACCACCAAGTCCTACAATCTCACCAATCATCATCATCATCATCATCACCACGAAGAATCCACAGACAAACCAATGGAGCCATCTCTGCCGACGCTCGAAGAACAAGTTGTGACGACACCGACGGAAAAAGACTCGAGTAGTGGGCTTTCACTGTCACCTCCTCCAGCGACCATGGCTATATCGGATAGTTCCTGCTCGGCAGCGACTACCTGGGCGGAACTGACCCATTCCTTTGGAGATTTGGAGTTGGACCGCGATCAGGATGGCAGTGCGGCCAGCGCCAGCAGCATTACGGGTTGCTCCTTTCGTAGTACACCCACTCCACTCAGTGCTCCCGGCAGTCCTTTTCCGTCGGCGTATTCGAATTCTACCAACTACAGCATCACCAACAGTCCCAGCCAAAGCAGCAGTGCCTCATTCTCACACTCGCAACCCGGGACACCCACGAGAAGACGCCCTTTGACGACTCCTCTGGTCCGATCGAGGAGTCCTGCTCGCTCTTACACCAGGAGACATCCTCAACGATCCCTCTCCCAGTCATCCACGGGAACCAGCTCGTCGACATCTTCCATGATGATGTCATTGACACTACCTCCACCGCCAGAACCATGTCCTCAAGTACAAAAGACTTTGACTCTGCTCAAATCGATCAAACAACAGATCAAAGGCATGAAACGGCGCGAGTCGAGACTCTCCTCCAAGCTTTACGTCCAACGACGAGAACGGCAGCAAATGCAGGAACAGATTGTTCAACTAGAAGCCAGACGATTTCGAGTCGAAGCCATGTTTCTGCGACCCCTTCCGCTGATACTCTTATTGCCGGTCATGGGGAACGAGGACGAAGAGTACGATCTGTGTCTCATCTCGGAAGGAAGTGATTCCTGGAATGCCTTGCCACCGCTGATTCGCATCCAATTGATTCAGACGTCCAATGGAGGCAGGACGATCTCCTCCCGTAGTAGAGGATCGGCTTTGTTGGTGCACTTTGGGCCCACATTGACGCAACCCATGGCCGCGGCATTGTCCTTTATTCGCAACAATCCAAACAGCAATGATCCAATGACGTCGTTGGGAGGCAATGTGTCGGATCTAGCTCATTTTGATTTGCAACCACTGGCGCAACAGCGAGATGTCAACTTTTGGGAACGAGTGACTTCTGGAAGAGTCATGGAGGCCGATCGGTCCAATCAATTGGAAGAATCTTCCTGTCAGTTCTTGTTTGATGCTCTGCACCGTGATCTACAACACTTGTGGCGTCACCAACTTACCCAGGTTGTGGACAAGAATACCAGACGGATTCAATGGATCTTACCCCAGGAGGCGGAGGATTTGTACTATGAGGTCATTCCTGCAGCGGGATCCTCGTCACATTTGGCTCTGCCACCGTCGACGCCGCACACAGTTCCAGCCTTGCCACCCTCGACGGCAACACTTCCGGCACTTCCACCTGCATCGGCGCCATTGGCTCTTCCGCCCATACCTCCATCCTTGCCACTAGCGCTTCCACCCATTCCGCAGCCTCAGTCGCCGATCATGTCCCTGCCAAAATCACTTTCCCCAATTCCGCTACCTCCGCCGTCGCCCACATCCTCTCGAAAATCATCATCACCCTCCCGTCCTCCGCTGTCGCCTCCGTCATTCCCATTGGCATCGTCGTTGCGGTAGTTAGTCATGTGTGCAGGGAGAGGAAACATAGCACACATACGCCACCTACAATAGGTTGGTGAGGACCGCATAGGGAAATTGATAGATCAAATAATACACAGTCGTAGTTATTTAGGTACTGTGGGGATATCTTCGTCTAAAGAGAGGCTTTTGACGATTAGCATGTGTAGGTATGTAGTATGCATTGGTGTAGATGGATCGTAGCGACAATTTGCTTCCTTTTACCGTCGATGCTGAGGAAGGTGCGGCCCTAGATAGACAATGCTCGAGCCGCCGTGGCGGACCGTCAAATCGACACCTTTAACTAACTAACTAAAGAAAGACTACATCGAACGCAATTACAATGTGCGTAACACCAGCCGTTGATCTCTCCCGAATGCAACCCAACTTCTGCCCCAATTTCCAGGCGCTCGAGACTGGCCAAGGAGAACCTCTGGCGCAAACGATACATGTAGGTCTGCGATGGTACCTCACACAGGAGGGAAGCGCACGATGACCCCCAGTCCGCATCAGTGCTGGCTCCAGCCTCTCCAAACGGCATTGGTGGATGTTTAAACCAACTCAAATTTCAACGGCATCAGAGTCGGTGCTGTCCACGTCAACGGCGTCTGGGGTTAGGTCAGTTTTCATCGCCTCGAAGCTATACTGATCATTGGATGCATGAGACGCAGGAGAGATAAGAATGGCGTCGTCTCCAGCCTGTTGCAGAGTCAACCTCGCTGAGCCCGACGTCGATAATGGTCCCGACGCAGCCGCCATAGTGGATGGCCTCTTTTTCAACGTCATTGCCAGTCGTTTATTCTCCTTCTGCATCGCGGTGAAAAGTTTGTTGGCGCTAGGAGGAACTCGGAGGAGCAACAGGAAGAATGCCAGTACGGCAAAGCCCAGAGCCAAAGCACACAAACAAATCAAGTTGCGGAGCTGGTTGTCGGGGTTCATTCCTATAGTTTGGAGGAAAACCTCGCCTTCAACGGGAAGAGCCGGATAACCTGGCGCATCGAAGGATAGCACCAGACCCATCAGCTCATTTGCCATCAGGACCTCAAATGCGTAGTAGAAGATTGACAGGTATTTGAGCCAAGAGTACCAAGGGTCCATCGTCTGGATGTTAAGCAAGAAGCCGCCAAACAGAAGCATAACCAAGAACCAGACGGCAGCAATCAAGTTTGCTTGCCCCACGGTTGGAGTAGCAATACTGAAAGTGGCATGGCAAGGCAGGTGAGGTACGGCCAAGTTGAAACAATAACACTAAACATTCACAAATCGGATCGGCCAATGTTGAACCCACCTTATGCAAATCGACATGACGCCAGCGCAAACGTTGAATAGCACCATTGTGGCCAAGTACGTCACAAAGGCAGGGGCCGTGTTCTTTAGCCCCATCATCCAGTAGAAGATGAAGGTGAAGAGAGCCACTGGGATAACCCGCAGCATAAAAAGGTCAAGCACCTTCTTGGTCAAGAAATAAGGGAACGTCCCGTAGTACTTGGCTCCTGTCTCGCGCACAAAGATGTGTTGCTCCCGAATAAACAGGTCCATTGAGCTAAAGGAAGCAAACGCAAAGAAGGACAAGGAGAAATAGAATGCCTGATTTGATGATCCATCGAGCAAAGCGGAGATGAGCAACGTTGGAGCTGGAGCGGAAAGGGTTGACAATGTACCTCAGCGCTGTTACTTACTCCTGTGCGGTTCTGGAAGCCGGCAAGATTATTCGAGACGTCGTTGAAAATTCCTCCAGCAAACAGTGCCAGAATCAGACTGATAGTGACCTGCATGAGAAATAGCTCCTTATTGCGGATAATATCCTTTGCAGCCCTGGCAAAAAGGACGGTAATCTCGTTGAAGATTGAGTGTCTTTCGCCGGAAATTTCTCTCCATTCTCCACCTGTCCCCCCTGCTGTGTCTTTCATGTAGGTTGTGAATGGTTGTGATGTGGTTGGATCATCATTGCTCTCGGGGGCCTTTTCCACGCAAAGCCTTGCGTAATTGATTGCTGTTGCATCCTCTCCCTTAAGACTGCTCAAGTTTTTCTTCTTGGAAACAACATCTAACATGTGGTCTGCGACCGTCTCCATGGGTGGACATGGGAATCCGCGTGCTTCCAAGTACCCGGCAACATCATCCGGTGAGCCGGTGTACATGCATCGCCCGTGGCCAAGAAGCAAGATTTTATCCATCGACATGAAGGACTTCATGGATGGCTGATGAATGGAAAGGATGACAACACGGTTGCCTCTCGCAGCCAGTTGATGCAGCACCTTGACGAGCTGATTTGCTCCATAAGCATCGAGCCCCTGAAGGAGTGTGATTCATCAGGTGAGGACAAAGTCACCGAATGAAATGAATAGGAGAATCAGAACTAAGCACTACTTACCGATGTTGGCTCATCGAGACATATCACAGGAGCCTTCGCAACTAGTTCCATACCAATGGATACTCTCTTTCTCTCACCACCAGATATGCCAGCTCTTCCATTTCCGTTCGTAGCCCCAATGCGGTTGTCGGAGACTTCAGTTAGTCGCAATTCTTGCAGCGTCTGCCAGACTTGTGCCTGTTTTTCGGATACTTTCATGGCCTTGGGAAGGCGCAACAGGGCTGAATACTCCAGGCACTCCCTAACTGTGAGGGTGCTATAAAGCGAGTCATCCTGCTGAACGTATGCCACCTGGTTTCGGTACCCTCTCTTTTGCACCACTCCGTTCAAAAGAATCTGCCCAGACACACGTGAAGCACCCCTGGTGGCCACCGTGGCGATTACATTGAGAAGGCTACTTTTTCTGTTTGAAGCAGGGAAACAAGGAACAACATCGGTGAGTGGGGTTTGAAAGCGTCCCCAAATCAACTGTGCAAAACAAGAACGATTTCCGTACCCACTGCCACTCGGCCCCATGATGGCCATCAATGTTCCGGACTCGGCACGCCCCGAAATGTTGTTGAGAATCGCCTTTTTGTTGCTACCGTGCTTTCTGGCGGCAGCTGATCGGAGCTTGACCACTTTACTAATATGTCGAAACTCCAAAACGTGTTTGGGAGCGTTGGCTTGTTCGAGGCTCCCTGTGGGACTCGGGGCATAGCTGGTAGTCTCATCAAAGGACTTGGACCCCAATTTCGGAGCGCTTTGATGTTGCGTGCACATGTACGGAATTGCCACCAGAACTGTCAGAAAACAAAAGAACCCGACAATGGCCACGAGAACAATCAGTGCAAAGTAAGAACTGGTTTCCCAGCCTTGAACGTATGACACAAGCGGGGCCAAAGTGGCATTTTCACCAGCTGCCAGTGCCGCGGCAGCGATAGGGTCAAAAGCCATGTAGTTGGGATCTTCCACACACGCAGATGCATTGCAGAGGGCTTCGATTTTAAAAGGTGCTCCGTCTATGTTTAGTTTGACCAGAGCCCCTTCAGATCCTCCATTTTCATTTTCAAACATATTCACCGTAGCAGGATTGCCACCAATGAGATTCTCCATGATGTTTCTTGTAAAATCACTACACTCATCCGTACACTTGCAAGCTGGGTGAGGTGGGCGGGTCAAAAAGAAGGGTCAGCACAAAACTCCAAATGAAAACGAAATCCACTCATCAGGTCGGCAAGGCAAGCAGTAGGAACCGGGGCATTACTACGGTACGTACTTGTCGAGGCACATCCACCATCGGTCCCGCCCACTGGTATATCACAACCGGAAAGAACGCAGTCCACGGCATGCACTCCGTTGATTGGTTCGTCAATATCCCAATTATAAATCGTCATAAAGACTTCCTTTGCTGTCGTGTTCACATAGATGGATAACTTGCCGTTGGTGAAAAGACCCTCGAGCAATCCAAATAGACGGCATTTGTAGGACTTGTAAGGGGTATCTTCGGTATAGTAAAAGGTCTTGCTGCAAATTTGGCTCGGCTTTTCGCTTTGACATCCTTGATCCGTCTCGCAATGGGCACAGTACAAATCGGACATGCCATCCACACAGGGACATCCATCAGGAGCCTCGAATTGGATCGATTTACCGTCATCGTTGACGTAATCATAGTGTGTGTTGGGGTCATCAGGTTCTCGGTAGGCGGGACACTGTTCTTGCCCCTGTGCTACCGGCAGGTAAGATACCGTGGCAACCAGCAATAACCCCCACAGCCAGTGGGGAGCTTGCCACCGTTTCGTTGTTGAATTTCTCATTTTCATGGATTTGTTGTTGCTTTTGTATCCTCTAGTATGCATAGACAAGCTGATCTGATTACCGGTTCGGTTGTGTGTTCCTTGGATGGTAATCGCCAAAGTTTGCAAAACTTGTTCTTCAACTTGTCTTGGGTTTTGATGGGAACCAAAAGCACGAAACAGAAATAGAACGGAGCCTTTCCAGGTCTGGCCTCAACTGAACTACTATCGGATGTCTTTTCCCGTGACACTCGGAGGTGCTCCTTGCTTGTTGCCAAACACTCTTGCCCCCAACAAAGAGCTCACTCGCAACGGCCAAACCAGCAGAGTCGAGTCGAGTCAAGAGTCGTCCTAACGGTTACCCACAATGTAAGTGGAAACCAAGGATGAGATGGATAATGACAACACCACAATAGTACCAGTCTATGGTGATGATGCTTGGACAACAATTGAGCCACTGCAGGATCAGGTTGGTGCTGCTTTGCCTGGACAAGAAAATTAATGAGAAATGCTTGTTCCATGCAAGCTCCAGCCAATGCCTCTCCCGCTTGTTGCTTGCTTGCACCCGTAACAGGTGCAGTCGTACGGCGGAATGTTCCACTTATCCAGGAAAGCTCCAATTCTTAACTTTAGCCTCAATCTCAAGAATCTATCATTTGATTGATTGCTGCTTTGCAATCAATCTTGGTATCAGGTAATAATAGGTAGATGAGTAAATATTTTTTGAACAAAGCCCATACATCTACACAGCTGCCTTCCAGTATGGAATCAGCCGCCTGTCTTGGGGGTTGTTCCTACCGGTATCTAAAATGAACTACTAGTAGATCTCAGCTTGGAGGAGATTCTTTACGAATGCTAACAAAGATAGCTATGAAGGAACATCATGGCAAACTTGTTGATGGCCCTACCAGTACGATCGTACCGTACCGGTATGCTGTTCTCCCTGCTCAAACAAAATTAAAAATCTGAGACTCGGAGTTATGCCTCGAGCACGAAACATGCAATTGAGCAGTCATTTAGAAACATTTCCATGATATCAGACCAGACTACTAGAGCGGTATCGGTACTCCTTCTCACCTTTTTGGCATGTCAACCATCGTAGTTTTCCTGGGCTACTAGCTATTAATAGCGCAATAGCTTGCTGGGCGGATGGGCCAAATCTAATAACGTCCACCTATTCTGTTAAAAAAAGAATCTTATGTTCAAGTTTGGAGGCAACTTGGTCACATCGCATCTTTTCTTTTAGTCGCAGTACCGCTATCCAGAAGTAGTTCCTGTTAAATTTGTTAAATCTTTTATGGCTCGATGGCTGTGATGCCAGAGTGTCGAGTGACAGTCGAGTCGAGTCAGACGAGTCAAGTCGAGGTCCCACATGTACCCCTCTAGCTAGCTAGCTCCGGTAGCTCCGGTTGTGCAAGGTCGTTTCGGTGAGAGTTGATCACACTCGACTTCCATTACCGCAATAATGGTGTTCCGGTCCACGATACGGGTATCTCATTGGGCATCTCCGTTCTAATGAACTCCCGTACAGGTAGCACACCGCAGAGCATGCTTACTTGGACGTTGCCCCGATGCGATCGCGCCAAGGGAGTTTCATCGGAAAGATGAATCGATCGCTCGATGCTGTGGCATGTCCGTACTGGTATCTCGCCTCAAAGTTGGGCGAGGAGCCCATTCATAGCAGCATGGCTCCACCGGGCTACTGATATAGAGCCCCCTGCATCTTTGAGAGTGGAGCTTACGCGGAAGAGCGAACATGCAACTTCCTACATTTGCCATGTTCCCGCTGATAGACCAAGGGTCGCACTTACCACCGTCGCGTCACTGTAACAACTCTTTCCTGCTGTCCCAATCATTTACCACCAGGATTTACCACCAGGATTGTCAAGGTGGCTATGCTTCTTTGGTGTCTACGTCTGGTTGACTTTGGGTCTGCTCATGCTTTCTCTTCGAATGCTCAACTAGACATTCGCATACGTGCCCGTGTATATGGTGGTTTGGCAAGCAATCACTCTCAATCTTTGAAATGTAGGACCGCGCTTCATCGTAATGCAAAAGTCCGTCTTTCGCCGATTCTTCAATCATGTTGATTAGACGGTTGAGGATAATTGTCGCGACATAATGTGACAGTATGATTTGACGCTGGTCGTCTGTGACTTCTTCAACCACTGAGGCAGCCTTTTCCACCTCAGCGCTGCTTTCATCCAACACCGTTTGAAGCGCACGTTGAAGAGCTTCATTGTCGACACGCTCATCCTCGTCCTCTCTGCTGCTGGTTTCATCAATCACAGCATCAACATAAACTTCAAGCCGTCTATGAACACGTTTGTGAGCCTCGATGAAACAAAATGCCCGAAGAAGTCGAGCTCGTTTCTTCTTGTACTCGATGTGGTTGTGCTTGTGGCGTTCTTGCTGGCCGTTACCGGCAGTGACACTGCCACCAAAGTACGCGCCAAAGCTCTCCCTCAGTATTCGTTGTTGAATGAATGTCTTGGCATCATCGTGCACCGTGCTGAACATTTGAAGAGCCTCCCAATCATTCATCTCATGACGCTTGGCGTCCGCTTCCGCAAAGTCCACACTGTGACGAAAAGCGCTTACATCCAAAGCCCGGTTTCCACCCTCCTGCACCAATTCTCCCCTATCCACAGCGTGCTCGTACGTTTCTTTCAGCATATCCAGGAACACCAATCTCAGTTGCACAACCTTTTCATCCATGGGAGTGTCGGCGCCCAAAGCTATTAGTGCAATACTGGTTTGGTGATGACGAGCAGTTCCCGAACCTCGAGGTTCAAGGATCGACGATGACATGGCCGCAACATTGGAAGTGGAGCCTGCAGTTGATTGTCGTGTGAGCTTGGGAACATGTGCCTTTACAATGTCAAAGTCAACCACTTCTGAAAACCTTGCCTGGCGCATCAACTTTTCATACTCCTGACCCACAAAGTCTCGTTCTCTCTTTTCGAAAACGTCCTGCATTGTTTTACCCGTGTCTGGAAGAGCCAAATCGAGCTTTTTGATCACCCAACCAGCTGCGGTGCCATTCAGTAGCAACGTACCAAGCGAGATACCTCCAGATAAGAAAACCAACCTTGTGGCGTCCTGCTCAAAGCGCGAATCGGGGCTACAATCCTGCGTTACGACGGATCGAAAGAGTGATGCTGCCAGTGCAATCCCAACAGCTCCCTGAGATCCAAACGAGAATACACGTTAGTTTTGCCTTTTCAACTAACTCTTGCCCTCGCCCAACCATGCTCGTTGAGACGAAAGAACTTACGCGTAGCCCTCCAAAAGCCAGAAAGCTAGCTTCCTTCAAGTTGCTTTTTAGACCAATACGGCTCAAGATGGGATAGAACAAGCCCACAATGAAGAACCGAATGAGCAAGACCAGTAGGTAGAAGGCCACCAAATGTCCCCAATCGGTCGATCCAATCTTTGTAGTCTTTTGTGAGAACAGAATTGATCCCCAAATAGAACCCCCCAGTGCAAATAGAAGACTGTTGAGCATGTGCTCCATTAACTTCAGATAGGAATCCATCATCTCAATGTCATTGATGAGGCCTTTCCCAAGCCATGCGCCGCCAATCCCGCAAAACAAGCATGAGAGGACCCCACTCATCTGCACCATATCTGCGGCAAAATAACTGATGTATGCCACAGATACAGCTCCCACAACTTGTAGACTGTTGTATTCAGGATCCAGCCGTCTATCCAACTCGTAAAGTAATGCGACAAGTCCAAGTGCAAAAGCAATGCCCATGGCAACTCCACCAAGAGATGCTTGAAAGAACAACTTGATACCTTCACCCCAACCAATAGGTTCTTCCCCCAAAAGCGGGCTCAAATAGATTTGACTAAAGAGGCTGTAGAAAACAAGTGCAGCCCCGTCATTTAGCATGCTCTGGTATGATGTATTGCCGTCAAGGAAACATGAAGTGAGACAGGAAATACAAGAAGGGATCTTATAAAAACCTAACCATCGTTGATAACTCACCTCGCCAGCGATATGCATTTTTAGCCGAGGAGGGGCGCCTGCTTCACTCAAGACAGCTGCAACTGCAACCGGATCCGTCGAGCTTAAGATGCTGCCCAGAGTCGCCCCCAATGACCATGAAAAATTGTAGGAGCTAGGGAGTGTGTAGACGCACACAACCGCCACGAGACCGGTTCCCACTAGAACCATGGGAAATGCCAAGATCAAAAGTTGGGAGAAAGAGTAGACGAACAAATTCAGATCCACTTCAATCGCATCTCTAAAGATAAGCCCGGGTAGAAAGACCAGCAAGAGCAGATTTCCGTCAATGCGGACCCACTGATGAATGCTCACTGTAAGCAAATCGTCTGATGCTGCATTAAATTCAGCTCCCATTCCCATAAAGGTCCCTAGCAGAAACATGGCAGCAGCATAGGGAATCGCAGAGAGAAAACGGAATCTCTTGAGCAGAAAGAACAGAAAAACCCCGATAACCCACACCACAAATGGATAGTAGATGGCACTGGCCGGATTCACAGCATGGCTTTTCGTCGCGAGGTAGTCATCTGTCTGAAGATCTGGATCACATGCAAGATCGTCGATCGTGGAGACACTACTCATTTCTCACTATTCTCCAATTGGGAAATGATCCAATCGAATGACGGATAAAAAGAAAGTATGATACTACTTCCGACTTCTGCTATGCTGTGTACCAAAGGGGATGGTGATGGAAAATGAATGAGCAACTGGGGCGGTACAAACAGTTCCACCCAGTACCGTACGTCGCCCACCTTCCCAGACAGGGAATGAATACAGTAGACCCGGAACCGAAAGGCGCAATCGAAGGATTGAATTCGATGATGCTTCGATTAATTCGATTCGATTCGATTCGTTTCGAAGGAATCGAATCCTGGAGTTTTGCTACAGTACCTCCACCTGCTGCATCTGGATACGGTAGCGTACCGGTAATAGCTAGGAAAGTTATGGGGGTACTGGTAATAGGTATGAAACTGTGGGTAACAGGCACCGTTGCCCAAATAGAGTCGGCACGTTGTTTTCAGCCTGATTCAGTTCCCTTTACATGACTCAGCTGCGTGGGAGTAGGGGCTTGTGGTACTGTGGCTGGTACTGAAATTGGCACAGTGATAAACTCTGTTACCACCCACACCCTTGAGAATGGGTCAAGGGTGTGGGTGGAAACAGACCACAGCGATTAGAGGACAGGTGAAACAGAAACCCAAGGCATGAGTGTGGGTAGAAAAGTATCCAAGCGATCCGGGATCTACCAGCTGTCTAACAAACCGAGATGCCGGGACTAGCCAAACGGAGCCAAACCAACCTAACTACACATAACAAACTAGCTAGTCATATTCGACTGGTAAAACCCCCACACCCATCGGG